GGTGGACCCTAGGCTCGTGCTGAAGTAAGAGGAACGAGTCCCAAGCCATGCATGTTACCCCATAGCAGCACGGAGACCAGAAGTGGTCTTTGCGGAGGTTTGTGAAAATCAGCTGACAAACACAGCCCTTCCTAGCTCTCTCTGGTCTTGGTGCTGCAATCTGGAAGTTTTCATGTGGTTCTCTTGACAAACTCCGTTTTATTCCTTGAAGCAAGTCTTTGCAGTTACTTCCACTAATGTGCAGCATAGACCCTGTGAAAGCTTGTAGGGTGCCAGGAAGGACAGAGGAGAGAGTGGGGCCACCTACCCTCAAACATCACATCTCAAAGAAGGAGAATTCAATGAAGATCACTCCAATAAACGTCTTTTGTTTCCTTCTCTCCACAACACTCCAGGCCTCAGCTTCCTGCCTGCCTTTCATTTCTAATCCCCTGCTTGGATCACATAATGTTCCTGGCACAGGGTGAATGATTTTTCTCATCCTCCCCTCACATCAGGCTTGGGTTCTGTCATCTGTGGCTGTCAAAGCAAAGATGCAAATGAAAACTCCTCTGAGGTGAAGTGAAGCCCTCAGGGCATTGCCCTGTGGCTGACCCAGCAGGGTGTAAACCTACCACCCAGGGACTTTCATGACCTCATACCCACCTTTCTTTCCCGAGTTCTGCCCCAAACATCTCAGGTCTATTTTTTATTTCCTCTGCCAACATCTCCCTCCCAGACTCACTCAACAAATATTTACTCACCTCTTTGAAGCCTCAGCCAGTCTAAAATAGAGGAAATCCTGGATTCCATTGATGTGGATCTGGCATAAGCAAAGCTTGGCACAGACCTCCTTCCATTTCTGTAACTGTCCTTTCTGTGTGGTTCCTACCCTCCTGCCTGTCTGTATATCCAGTGTCCTGTGCAGTCCTGCTATTACCTCCATTGATTATTCCCTGTCTTCCGCCCGTTACTGAAAGGAAAGCATTTGATCAGCAAATCCACACAGATACACTACTGGTTACTAGTTGGTGTATGTGCCTATTACGAGGATGGTTTCTGAGAAAAGATGGTGGTGTCAATGTAAATGAAATAATCCCAGCTCTAGAATTGGCCACTAAGTCAAGATGGGGGGAGTATTTCCATGCAGATTGTTCTAGAAGCTCCCACCTACTGGTGGAACCAAGAGCCAGGGAACCCTTGTCCTTCGGGTCCCCAAGAGCCTCAGAACAAAATCAATCATGTCCTCTAGGAATGTATCCATTGATACCCTAAGAAATCCAGTCAGGTCATTTTCAGCCACATGGACCATCTTCATAGATTCTTAGATCACTGATATCACCACAACTGATATCAACCTGAATCAAATCCTACCACTCTGGCTAGCATCCGTTATCATCAAACTCCCCTGCTCCTGAGCCTTGCTTAATCATTGCTCATTCTGTCAGTGTGTTATATCTTGTCTCTTCTTTCAGAAAGGGATCATGTTTGGTACTGCTTCTACTCCCCTATGATTTTAAGTCTTCCCTCCTTAAGTTTGCCTCTCCTTGGAAGCCATGTTGTCATGGGCTTTTCTTCTTCTTTGTTGACTTCCTGTGAAGGCCTCTGAGTCACCCAGCTTCAGTTTTCAAAGGCTTTGACATCAGACTCTATGTTTTCATCAACACACCCAGTCTCATTATAATATTTGATGATTTCCACATCTGTAGACTGAAGTTTCTGTCCCTAGTAGTCCCGCAGTCGTTTAGTCCCAAATAAACACACAGAGAGGTGTATTAATTATAAACTGTTTGGCTGATGGCTCAGGCTTCTTACTGGCTAGCTCTCTCTTAATTATTAACCCATTTCTATTAATCTGTGTATTTCCACATGGTCTTGACTTACTAGTGATGCCGGGATCTCTGTCTTCCTCAGCAGCTCTGTGGTGTCTCTCCAACGACTCGCTCCCTGAGTTCCTCTTTCCATTTTCTCTTACTCTGGTAGCCCCACCTATACTTCCTGCCTGGCTACATCCTCCCTGTCCATTGGCCAAAACAGCTTTATTCATCAACCAATAAGAGAAACATATATCCCCAGCATGCAAAAGGACACCCCCATCACATATCTGTGTTGAGGACACCACCTTTGGGACTTTGTGTTCTTGGCCTTCTTTCCAAAGATTTTCTTCACTCTATCTTAACTGCGCACAGGCGGGGCCCTCGTAAACGGCCACAAATGTCACTTTCTAAGCTTTGTCTTTGCCGCCGGGTCACGTCTCTTTGGATCTCCCCCTCCAGTCCCGAGTCCCGTAATTCCTCAGCCTCACCTTAAGCACCAGCTCATGGGTTCTGCCGTCTTTTCCACGGAGCCTCATTCTCCAGATCCCATTCCTGTTCTTGTCCATCGTGGTCTCCACAGTGTCTTGTTGCAGTCCTCAGCCTTCACACCCGCCCCTGTCCCGTGTCACCACACTCTGCTGCACTCTTGGCTGAACTTATTCACCTCCTGGACACTGTTTACCTCTGAGCTTCTGCGCATCCTGTCTCCAAACAGCTGACTATGGCAAGAGAAAACTACACTCAAGAGCTGTCTTTTGAGGCTACGGGTAGTAATATGCTCAGGTTATACACACAGGTGCTCAGGTTATACACACAGGTGCTCAGGTTATACACGCAGGTGCTCAGGTTATACACGCAGGTGCTCAGGTTATACACGCAGGTGCTCAGGTTATACACGTAGATGCTCAGGTTATACATGCAGGTGCTCAGGTTATAAACACAGGTGCTCGGTATCTCCTGAGAGACAACGGAACATGAGCAAGGATATGGAACCAAGCCTCCTGGCTCAGATTCCCCCACTCTGCCACTTGTAAGCTGTATAATTATGACATATTTATTTTCATTGTTCCTGGCTCAGTATTTTCATCTGTAAAATGGGAGGAAAAATTATCTCTGGGATTATATAAAGGATTAGTTGAGTTAATAAATAAATGTTCAGAAGAATTCCTGATGTATAGTAATTTCCTAAAATAGTATGTTACTACTTGGGCCAACTTACTTGTCTGCTCTCTTAGGGAAAGATTTCATGTTATTTTCCCCCCCTCTCTCTCCAAATCCAGCTTGCGTTCCTCGCTTTGAATCAATGACTTTGGTTTTCATTTTTTATTTGATGATAGAAATAAACAGAAGACAACTTTCTCTGTCCCAATCAATTGATGTACCTCAGTTGTTCTGGTCTTCTCTCTTTCTTTTGATACAATCTGTGCTTCTATTGAAGACCAAACACACAGACACACAGAAACACACACAGACACACAGATACACATAGATAAACAGATACGTGCAGGCACACACAGAAAAAACACACACACACATAGACACAGAGTCACACATAGACAAACAGATACATGCATGCACACACAGACACACAGAAACACACACACACTCCCACACAAGCACACGTGCATGTATGCTCACAGTCACATGACCTTGGACCTTACTGTAAAACATCTACTTCACATTTTCTCCTAAATCTACTCCTATAATGTAGACAACTCCATTCCCAAATATACAATGTTCTATCAAAAGAACTTCTATCAGGGTATGGATGATCTGACCACTCTGCCAAAGTCATGCTAACCTCACAGTCCTTGTCTTCCTTGGTTTGTCAGTCAGACTGGGTATGGCTTTGCTCAGCTGGTTTCCAGGATACCCCCTCCTCGCTTTCATCTTCTTTACTCTTGCTATAACTTCTTATATTCTTGACCCCTAAATACCCTGGGATGTGAGGCAGGAATCCTTGGCTCAGTTTTTCTCTCTTTAATTCCTTTGGCTATCTCATACAGTTTCAAGTGTCAAATGCCATCTCTAAGCTGATGTCCCAGATGTCCTCAGGGTATTTACCACTTCCTGCAGGTCTCAGTTTTAATTTTGCCCTGCACAGAGGCTTTCCAAGGCTATGTTAATAAAATAAGAGTCCCTACCCCACCACTCTTATGTCTTTTTCCTACTCCCATTACTCTGTCTTTACTCCAATTTATTTTTGTATAATAGCACTTATTTGTATATTTAATGCCTTTGAAAACAAAAGCCATTATTTACTTCATAGAGTGTATTGCACACAGAAAGCTTCCAAGTCATCCTTGCTGATTAACGCCATGATCTCATTCAGCCTAGAAAAATCCCCCCAGCAATCCTGTTAGAGAGCTTATTACAGATGAAGAAGCAGAATATGGTATCCCATTGCCATGGAGCTGGCAATGCAGGTAGCCTTGTATTTGAGTGCACATCACTCAGAAGCCGTGAAGGACTAGGGGATCAGACCGTGGGGGCACTTTTCACTAGGCACAGAGCTTAGTGTCGTGGAACAGAGAATCAGTGACGGGAGGTGGGAAGCTGGAGGTGACATGGCTTTGATAAGGAGACGACTTCATCCAGAATTAAATATATTTGCCCATTTCCAGTACCCTTGTCGCTCATCCATGTGGACTTCTTGGGTCTCCTTTGGTGCCTCATTGGAAGTTGACTAATGGCATATTTCATGTATTGTTATCATTGGAGTGTCATGTACTGATAATAGTCAAGAATTATGTAAAATCTTCAAACCAAGTTTTCTTTGAGATCTATAACATAAGAAACCTTCATGCTATTTGTATAGCAACCTGTGAGTTGACATAATCCCTAAAGAAGCTTATTCGTTAATACCAGAGACCCGTTTACTGTGCTCATGCGACGACTCAAAAAGGCATGACTCGCTAGACACACTCACAAAATACTACGCTAATTGAAGGGCACATTATAGTTCCAGCTGTAGTGACACTAGGTTCCCAAAAGCCCAGTTGAATGGGCCTCTAAAATATCCACATTTAAAGTAACTGACTTCTTTAGAGTTTGCGCTCTGTGAATTCTGACCTTCCAGGTTTCCCAAACATTGGGTCATGAGTTTAAGTGGTATTTCCATGCACATGACAGATGTTGTGGGTTAATAGGTTACAATGGAGAACATTTCTGTGGTGTAATAAAATACTGTTTTCTGTTTCAAAGGGATCCAGCTGTTCATCCTCCATTACCTCCCAAACCCTCTTCTCCTATTGCTTCTCCTAAACAACCAAGACAGAATAATAGGTAAGAACCTGTCCTTCTGAGTGTCTTGCCAGGGTGTTGAAGGGAAATGACAGTAAAGTAGTTACAAATGACTTTGTACAAAGCATGGCTGTGTTTTCTGTGTACATTCACTAATGCAAGACTCACAGAGATTCTAGGTCTGTACCCATGTGTAATTTCTTTTACTTTAGCATAGAGATGGCCATTATCTGCCTTAGGGAACTGTATCTTTGAAATAGCCATGGACCAGCAGAATTGGAAGAGTTTAGATAAAAGTTTCTTATATATTAGCACTTAATATAAATGAATGTATATATTGGGCATATATCTCATGCCCATTAAATATAAACTACATTAGACAACATGTGTGAATATTTTTCATTTCTATTTTCTTGCAGTTAAGTTTCTCATTAAAAGCTATATATTGTGATAAGGGATATTCTTACAGCTTGTGTTACTACTCAAGCCTTCAATTATACTAGAGATGCCTTTGGGCTGTTGTTTGATTTTTAAAACTAAAGCATTTTTATTTATATAAAACTATCATAATTATTGAAGAATACTGCAAATAAGTTATCTCCACATCGGGAAAAACACACGTTCTTTACTACTTTGAACTTTTGCCACTCTATAATTAATACTTAGAAACAAATTCAGAGGCTTTTGACAGTCTTCCTACGTGTCCCTGTTACATAGTCTGATAATCTTGAACTACTTTTCAAGAAGGATCTCCCATCTTTCATTAGCATTGTCAGATTAAATCCCAGCGACTCAGTGGAGACTGAGCATGTTGGATCTGCCTGGATGACTACTGTTACTTCTTTTGTGATTTTTGCCTCTTGAGGGGGACTTTTTTGATGCCATGTAAGATACAACTATAGAACCGTTATTCTAATTCGCAATTATAGAGGCATTTTTTAAATAAGGGGGTAGCCTGCTAGGAAGTGCTGACGAAAGGGGCGTGTGGCACCGTGTGCTCATCCTTAGGGGGTAAAACCCAGGGCTGAATTTCTACTCATACAATCCCTCCGGATCTCTGAATTTTATCCTTGGGATATTGCCTTAATGAGTCAGGAGAATAGTATTTCACTGAACTAATTAATGATATGGACTCATTTTATAACTTTTCATTTCTGCAGTGATTATAATTATCATAAGAGCAATGTCTCAAGCTTCCTGTCTTACCTGTTTGATCCTCTTAGTTTTATAGTGTTAAGCAATTAAGTCATAATTAGAACAGATTTTTTTGAGGAGCTGAAATAAGTTGTCCCTGTACCACCTAAGTTCTGATCTAAAATCATTGACACTAGAGGGCTGTACATGTTTATATTCAGAAAAGGCTTAATTCCATAGGAATTGGTCAAATCCATTTTAACTGTTCTCCTTTCTTTCTTTCAGTAATGATCCAAAAAATAAAATTGGGACAACATGCATGTTTTAAAAAAAACCCTGATTACTTTAATCACAGCATGGTGATTTTAATGAACAAATATGAAAGGGAAGTAATTAACACATGTCCTCAGGAGAACAAAAAATAGTTGAGTATAGCTTCTTAAGAATAAGCAAGAATGTATAAGTAGGTCAAGCACAGTCTAAGGAAAAGAGAGAAGTCTTATGAATTCTGACAGCCTAACACTGGACAATTTACTGCTGTCAATTCAGTGCTACCCTTCTCGTTGTTGTAGACGTATTTGAAATATAGACTTATTTATGTCTTATCCGAACAAATACGTTTCTTGGTAGTATTCATATGGAATAACTCTTTAATGAAAAGTATTATTTTGCTGCCTAACAACAAAAATGTTTCTTAATATTTAAAATGTTGCATAATTATTTAATAGAGATAGAGACAAAACACTTTGACGAATGGAAATAAAATGAACAAAACCTGGATCAGACATGACCAATGTACCTAGTGGTTTGAAACATATAAAAAGCAGTTGATATTGTAAAATTAGCACCTTGTGCCTTTTAGACTTTCAAAAATAGCCAATACAAAGAACTAGGGAAACTTTTTGTCAGTATTGTAATATTTATATTTCTGAACACAATGTATTCTCATACGTATAATTTAACTCGAAAGAGTTTTCTTACCTAACAGGTATTTTTTTTAAAATCTAGGCAGACACATATATCCACAGCAGGTGCATATGGAGAAGCCAATAGACACGCTGAAAAAAATATAAGGTACAGAAATCCCTGTCTACATGTGTGTGATTGTACCAATGATAAAGCATACTTTGTTGGAGTACTTTCAAATAATAAATTGAATAAAATCAGTTTTCTGGTCACCTTCAGCTAAAATAAGTACACCGTTTTTGAGACAGGGTTTCATTATGTAGCCCTAGCTGCCCTGGAACTTGCTATGCACACAAGGCCAGTCTCAATTTTATAGAGGTCCATCTGCTCCTGCCTCCAAAGTTCTGGTATTAAAGTGTGGCACCATGCCTGGCTAGGTAATACATGCTTTTATAGGTTCTTGTTCTTTAATTTGTCTCAAGATTTACATTGCAGATCTGAAATTGTCTGAACATAAGGACAGGATGAGATGAAACCCCTTGAAAGCAGGAGGCTTGCTTGTCTCTGAATTTCCTGTATTTGCTTCAAGATATAGACTACTGTTGCTGGGGGTGGTGCATAAATGATCAGTATATCTGCCACTGTTGCAGTGTGGGTGTGAATGATCAAGGGGGAAATAGTTTTGCTTTGCTGAACTTGTACTACAAAAATCTTTCCATCGGTTCTGGCTGTAGCGGTCATGTTCAGCTTGTCCTGCAACTCACCCATCTTGTGGATTAATTTGGTAAGAAGGCATTTCCCTGTTTTGCACATCATACCTAGGTTAGCATTCATTCTGGATATGTTTTGTTTGTATTCCTCCTTCTTCTTTATTACTTAGGGAAAATAATGGCTTTGGGGAATACTTATTTTAAAGCCAGGCATGGTGGCACATGCTTGTAATCCCAGTCCTTATGGGGCAGGAGCAAGAGGATTATTCCAAGGTTGAGGCCATTATGGTAAACACAGTACAGTGAGTTCTAGGACAGTCAGGGCTACACAAGGAAAGCTGAGTATGGGAGAAATAGTCTTCTGTAGGGAAGAGTGCACCTGTTGGTTATTCAATACCAAACCGTCAGTCTTAAAACTGTGCATCAAAAAGCACAGTTTGTGTTTACGAACAATTAGTGAAAAAGGGAACGCATGGATCTGAAAGAGCAAGGGGTATATGGAATAGTGTGGGGGGAGGAAGGGGAGAAGGAAATGATGTCATTGCATTATAATCTCAAAAATATAAGAAAGTTTTGTGGGGGAGGGGAGTCTCATCTTTAATGGATGAGCCATCTCTCCAGCCCAGAAATTTTTTTTTAAAAAATCCACATGGCCAGGCCGTGATGGCGCACACCTTTAATCCCAGCACTTGGGAAGCAGAGGCAGGCGGATATTTCCAGGACAGGCTTCAAAGCTACACAGAGAAGCCCTGTCTTGGGAAACAGAGAGAGAGAGAGAGAGAGAGAGAGAGAGAGAGAGAGAGAGAGAGAGAGAGAGAGAGAGAGAGAGAGAGAGAGAGAGAGCCTAAAAAATTATGACATTGCTATTTCATAGTTCCATCAGTATAATAAGTGAAAAAATGACAAAGGTACTTTCCAAAGTAAAATTTCTTTTGTATTAACCCTTTGACTCTCAGAAGAGCCCCAGTTTGAAGCACAGACCACAAATATACCTTAGAATTGGAAAGAATGTGACTTCCCTGTACTTAAAAGTTTTTGTGAAACCTTTATCACCTCCCACATTGTGTTGCATGTGTCACATGATGCCACTGCATCTTCCATGAGAGTTTAATGGTCCAGTCCACTGAGGGAGTTGGTGGCAATGAAGGATGCTAGTGTCTGTGTGTCCCATGAGTGGAGATGATGGGACCAGCTCTCAATGCTATTAAACTCATCACTCCTGACTGTGGACTACCCTTTCCTTCACCAGAAATTCTAGGAAGTTCAGTTCCTATAGTCTAGCTCCATTACCACTGACCTGCTTCTCTTTCTGTTCCTTGAAGGTCTAAGGATCTCGACAACATCATCAGGGTGGCTGCTTCACTTCAGAAAACTGACAAGGGGTGAGGTCCCAAAGCTCCCAGACTTGTTTCCCCTCTCATTTTTGTGGTCTAAAAGCTAGTCACTGCCCCTGTGATTTCTAAACATGAGCCAATCCCCAGTTCTGCTTATTGTATATGATTAAGAAGAAAAGGACTCTCAGTGTCTCTCTGTGAGCATCCCTGATAGTGGGTGGTGATGACATTTATGGATGCCCGTCTTGACCAGCCATTGAGTCTACACTTCCCAGGGGCCACGCGTCTCAATCAGATCTCCAGTCCTGTGTCTGCGTCGCTAGCCCAGACGGCCACTCGTTTTTTGCCCTAGTACCTCCATTCCAAACGCCCCTGGGCCGTGTTCACCTTCCTTCCCAGATGTGCTGTTCCTGCTTCTGTTCTTCCATTTCCAGGCTGGGCTTTCTAAGGTCATCCTCTAAGGCCATCCCCAGTTCTTCCATCCCGTACCCTCTGTGAAGTACAGGTTTGTGTACCCTAAATGTCTACAGTGTCCATACGTGGCCTCGTGCCAGTTCAAACCCTCACCAGGACAAGAGATGAGCATGGCTATTCAAACTTACTGATACTCCTTCTGCCGCCATCACTGCCCCCGAATGCCAGATATTTTTCTGTAAATATCTGCCATGCCCATTTAGTTACGCACAGCTATGCTTGCCAGCCTGGATCGAGAGTAATTCAGTTCCAGAATCGTTTCTGACTTTGCCCAGATATTTATCCCATATCCGATGCCAGCTTAGAACACCTGCAGTTCCTGGACACGTTTGTTTGTTTCTGCCATTTCTTCCATTCGGGGATCTCTGCCAGTCTCAGTGCCACCCTGCCCATCTATTTGAACCCTACCATTTTCCAAGATCCAGGTCACAAATCACCTGCCCTGCGAAGTCTTCCTTGTGTGACCCAGTGGAGTGTGACTCTGGCCTGTCTCCGTGATTAGAGACACGGCGTTTCTATTGCGTACTGCAGGTCTTGAACGCGTGATCCTTTTGTCTCGATTTTCTGAGTATGTAGGGTTACAGGTCTGGCCCAGTCATACCTGGGTTAATATTTCGGTTTCAGTAACAACGGAACACGTTTTAAGTTGGAGATTGAGGGGAAGATAAGTGACTGATGTTGAAGAGTAGTAATAGTGTGGCATGAGTCACCCCACACAGCGAGAACAGCAGTCAGTTGGCTTTCCTGTCCCCTATCCCCAGATACAGGCACAAATCTCACTGAGGCGTACATTAACCATTGAGAGAGAATTCTGCTTTCCCACGGGCCAGGGAAATGCACTATGGGCTCTCCAAAGGGAATAGAAAGAGCTTCGTTATCGCAGCTGCTCTTTGTGGAGTAGAGAGCTGTTGCTATCTGATTAAGGGCATTTAATTTGTGGCAAAGACAATGGTGAAACTTAATATCCAAAGCTTTTTATCAATTTACAGTCGTTTTTCAAAGCTCAGTTTCTTTCATCCAGAATGCTGTCTCCATGGTGTTTAATTTACCACAGGGTGTCTTCTCATGATTTATGCTAATTTTCTTGTGATAAACACCAGAGACCTTGAATCCTGAAAAAAATCTTATCATTGTGGCTCATGCCTGTCACAAAAGTCTGGGGCCAAAATATACAGGATTCTTGCAGTTGCTCTTTCCCTTGGGATAGAAACAAAATTTCAGCTAGACTCTGCTTATCAGGTAGCATTTCAAGAAACAATAACAGAACACCGTGTTTGGACGCTAGGCAGTTCGTTTCCCATGAAGGTAGAACATTGCTTGTTTCCCTTCTCTGTAACTGTTTTTCAAATATCACAGAATTCATTCTCAACGTCAGTCTTATCATTAAATGTACAAACGAACTGTCTACATATTGATGATGAGTTGAACACGGTGAAGATAGTCTCCAACTGTTTTTCTGGCAGTGGTGGGTTACCTAGCATCTTCATCACGCAGAATAGGCTCACCCATTCTGACTCTCTGCAGCCGACAGTATATTACTGTCTACAAATTCAATTGAAAAGGTGACTATAGCAGGCATGAATTTCATGAAAAAACAATGACCTGGTCCTGTAATGGTTATGATTAGGTGAAAATTTACTACTTTCTAGGCATTGTGCTCAGAACTGTATATTAACTTATTGATTCTTTTTTTGAGCATATTAACGATAGTTTATTATAGTGAGACCAAAAAGAGGGGGAGACAGACATGACAGAGAGACAAGATGAGAGATAATGAGATAGAGAGAAAGACAAGAGTAAAAGAGGATGAGATAATGAGAGTAAGAGAGAGAAGTAAAAGAGTATTGATTCTTTTTAAAGATGAGCATGATTAGTATTATTATTTTATTTATGGGGAAATTGTATCAACATGAGCTGAAGCCATTCATCAGGGTCACCCAATGAATCATGGTGACATTTAGATGTCTCTGGCTTAGTAGCTTTAAGGTATAGATATTGGTCTGCTGGTCCACACCAGAGATGAGTCAAGAAGAAAGGATGCTGAGAATGCCAGAGACATGTGTGACTCTATAGCAGCAAGAAGAGAGAATCAAGACACGTGAATGCAAACACTGAATGAGGAAGGCAAGAGGAATGAGGGTGGGAGTAGATGGAAGGAGGAAAGAAAATCTGTGGAGAAGGCTTGCTGTGAGGATCACACAGGAGGAAGCAACAAAGAACACTCTTGCGGAGCACCCTAGTACAGCTCCCTGCTTGGGGAACAGAGCTGAGCCCGTGGTTTAAGGGGAATTCTCCAATACATAAACTACAAAAGGCTGCTAGAAAGGATGGCTTGCCCTTTTCAAATATGGAAACAAGATTGCAAGTTTAGCTGACCTAGAATGAACTTGTAGTAGAGTTGAAGAAATAAGCCAGTGTCTCTTGAGTAGTTACTTTCTGTGCAGCTACATTGTGTGAGAATAGACTCTATAATTAGCCAGTGTTCCTGTAGTTGTTGACTCAGTTAAAAAAGAGTATTAAACATCTATATAAAGGTAATATATTAAAGAGTGACAGGATGCATTGCAAAATGCAGTCCTGAATTTTAAGGAGTGTATGTGGGAAGGGACGTTAACCCTGCAACAAAAGCACAATTACTATTACTATAATACATACTGCAATGAAGTCTCATAAAGCAGATACAAAAACCCTAGCATGCTACAAGAGTTCCAGACATAGGGGAGACCTCAGCTAATGGGCAGGAAAGGCTTCTTTGGCAGCATGGCATTTGAGGAACATTTGGAAGGGTAAATAGAGTTTCACAGATAATTAACACAGAGGATCCTGTTCTGTTTCTGAGTTCTCAGAGTTATTTTAAGGTGGATCTGCCTTTGACTCTGGGAAGAGTTTTGTTTGTTTGTTTGTTTTTGTTTTTTTAAACTAATATTAGATTTTATTGTTTCTTCCCAAAGTGAAGAAATGGACAATCTCATCAGAATGAACAAAAGCTTGAACAGGTGAGGTGTAAAAAGTTTTCACGTTATTGTTGAGTTGAACATTGTGAATTCTTGTATCATCTTTTCAGAATTAAAAACTATGTTTGGTTTTAGAGTAGGAGGATCAACATACATATCTGAATAGTCAGTAATACCTCAAAAGCCTTGGATTAAAAGCTTGGAGAAATAATCAAACAGTTATTAAAGTACTATATTTAAGTATCTTTGATTTTCATGTTCCATGAAATTTAAGGTAGTTGTATATTTATACATATAGCACAGTTTCTGGTATTTTAGTACATTTATATATACACAGTTTCACTCGATTGCTGAATATTTGGAGTTAAACCACTAATAATTTTGTTACTATTACCTCCCAGTTTTGAATCAGTTGGAATTGCAAAACAAAATATTCTAGAATAGATGAATGACGGAGATAGAAAGGGTCAGCAGATAGAAAAGGGAAGAATGAAATAAAGAACTGTCCACTGGTTTCTTTGACCTAACACTGTGAAATGTGGTCTTTACATGCTGTCTTGAAAATCATCATCTGTGGGATGAGTGCCGCAACTCACCGAGATTGGCCACTCTTCAGTTGCCTCGTCCGTCCGTACAGACAGGAGGTTTTAGATCAGGAGACGTAGAGGCAGGTGTGAAGGGAGGGCGTGGCAGTGTGAAGGAGAGGGCGTGGCAGTGTGAAGGAGAAGGCGTGGCAGGTATGAAGGGAGGGTGTGGCAGGTGTGAAGGGAGGGCGCGACAGGTGCGAAGGGAGGGTGTGGCAGGTGTGAAGTGGTGGGTGTGGCAGGTGTGAAGGGAGGGCGTGGCAGGTGTGAAGTGGTGGGCGTGACAGGTGTGAAGTGGTGGGCGTGGCAGGTGTGAAGTGGAGGGCGTGGCAGGTGTGAAGGGAGGGCGTGGCAGGTGTGAAGGGAGGGCGTGGGAGGTGTGAAGTGGTGGGTGTGGCAGGTGTGAAGTGGTGGGCATGGCAGGTGTGAAGTGGAGGGTGTGGTAGGTGTGAAGGGAGGGCATGGCAGGTATGAAGGGAGGGTGTGGCAGGTGTGAAGGGAGAGCATGGCAGGTGTGAAGTGGAGGGTGTGGCAGGTGTGAAGGGAGGGTGTGGCAGGTGTGAAGTGGAGGGTGTGGCAGTGTGAAGGGAGGTTGTGGCAGGTGTGAAGGGAGGGTGTGGCAGGTGTAAAGGGGAGGGTGTGGCAGTGTGAAGGGCAGGGTGTGGCAGTGTGAAGGGCAGGGTGTGGCAGGTGTGAAGGGAGGGCGTGGCATGTGTGAAGTGGTGGGTGTGGCATGTGTGAAGTGGTGGGCGTGGCAGGTGTGAAGGGAGGGCGTGGCAGGTGTGAAGTGGTGGGTGTGGCATGTGTGAAGTGGTGGGCGTGGCAGGTGTGAAGGGAGGGCGTGGCAGGTGTGAAGTGGTGGGTGTGGCATGTGTGAAGTGGTGGGCATGGCAGGTGTGAAGTGGAGGGTGTGGTAGGTGTGAAGGGAGGGCATGGCAGGTATGAAGGGAGGGTGTGGCAGTGTGAAGGGAGGTTGTGGCAGGTGTGAAGGGAGGGTGTGGCAGGTGTGAAGGGGAGGGTGTGGCAGTGTGAAGGGCAGGGTGTGGCAGTGTGAAGGGCAGGGTGTGGCAGGTGTGAAGGGAGGGCGTGGCAGGTGTGAAGGGAGGGCGTGGCAGGTGGGAAGTGGAGGGCGTGGCAGGTGTGAAGGGAGGGCGTGGCAGGTGTGAAGGGAGGGTGTGGCAGATTTGAAGTGGTGGAGTGGCAGGTGTGAAGGAGAGGATGTGGCAGGTGTGAAGGGAGGGCGTGGCAGGTGTGAAAGTGGAGGGTGTGGCAGTGTGAAGGGAGGTTGTGGCAGGTGTGAAGGGGAGGGTGTGGCAGTGTGAAGGGCAGGGTGTGGCAGTGTGAAGGGCAGGGTGTGGCAGGTGTGAAGGGAGGGCGTGGCAGGTGGGAAGTGGAGGGCGTGGCAGGTGGGAAGTGGAGGGCGTGGCAGGTGTGAAGGGAGGGCGTGGCAGGTGTGAAGGGAGGGTGTGGCAGATTTGAAGTGGTGGAGTGGCAGGTGTGAAGGAGAGGATGTGGCAGGTGTGAAGGGTGGGCGTGGCAGGTGTGAAGGGTGGGCGTGGCAGGTGTGAAGGGCGGGCGTGGCAGGTGTGAAGGGTGGGCGTGGCAGGTGTGAAGGGTGGGCGTGGCAGGTGTGAAGGGCGGGCATGGCAGGTGTGAAGGGTGTGAAGGGAGGGTGTGGCAGGTGTGAAGGGAGGGTGTGGCAGATATGAAGGGAGGGTGTGGCAGGTATAAAGGAGAGGGCGTGGCAGGTGTAAAGGGAGGGTGTGGCAGGTGTGAAGTGGTGGGCGTGGCAGGTGTGAAGTGGTGGGCATGGTAGGTGTGAAGGAGAGGGTGTGGCAGTATAAAGGAGAGGGCGTGGCAGGTGTGAAGGAGAGGGCGTGGCAGTATAAAGGAGAGGGTGTGGCAGTGGAGGAACCCTGGGCAAGAGGAAAGGAAAACGTCTTGTCAACAGCATCCCAGCACCGACTGCAGAAGCCACATGGGAATCTAGAGCCATTGTTGCAGGACGTTTTCAGGATATCCTGAAACGCATGGTCTTATATCATGATAGCCCTATAAATACTGGTTTATGTTAAAATTATATATATATGTATATATATGTATGTATATAGATGTATATACATCCATCCATACATGCATACATATGCAACTGAAGACAAAGATGATGACAGAGAGCAGTGTACATGGGAAGGGTGGCAGAAAGGAAAGGAAAAATCATGTCATCAACATTTTAACTTCACAAACAGAAAGAAAGAAAACAGGGGCTGGAGAATGGCTCAAAGAGTACTTGATGCTCTTTAAAGGACCTGGGTTTGGTTCTCAGCACCAGATAATGGCTCACAGCCATTTCCAGGGAATGTGATGCTCTCCGTCCTCTACAGGAGCCAGGGGTTGCACATGGTCACAGACATGCTGGCAGGCAGAGCACCCAAACACATACAATTATTTAGAAAAGGATAAGAGATAAATAAAAAGGAAACATTCATGGACCTAAACAGCATTTCTACAGACCTATCATGGCTTGACTATCCCAATTTATCTCTTTGGTTGCACTTCCTCTAAGGCTTGCTGATATTTAAACTTGGAGTTTGGGGAAACCTGTGTAGAATAAGGCAATTTCCAGAACCTTCCCTCATCTTTCCCAGCCAGCTTCTATTTTACATGTAAACTGGTATGAGCTTTTTATAGTGAAGCGTCTGTCATTATTGCTGATGAGATTTTTAATCAATATATTTAAAGAAATCAAGGTCTGGATGGCCTCTTCCGAGCAAACCTGAAGGCACAGCAGGTAGACAAAAGGTAAGTGTGCCTGTCCATCCTGGATGGCGTGTGCTGCAGACTGCTTGCTTTGCTGCTTCAGACAGTGGGGGTGGTGGTGGGGAGCTGCATCCTCTGGCAGACAAACACACTAGCAGATGGGCTAGCTCTCCAGCATTGTACATTTAGTTCAGACATAATTGCCCGGAAGGATCTCTGCTCTTCCATTCAATGAGAGCAAATGAGCAATTCATAGAAAATGTTTATTGTTTCTGACCTTTCAAGATAGCACACGGTTTCACTCCAACATGCAGTTTTTATTGCAATTCTTTTTGTTTCCAGAGCCCAGAGTCTTGAAAGTCTCATCTCTACGAACTCCCAGATGGACAGAGATGGCAAAGGGTAAGAGCCGGTCAAGGAGGGCCACTGTGGGTGACTCTTTGACTGCCTTGTGTGGTCAGCAGGAGGCCGCCTTCTCTGGCCAGGGTCAGGTGTTCTGGTGGCACAGACTCAGAGAAGGGTCAGAGAAGACTGGGTACCTCATACTGGCTCTGCAACCATCATGAATGTCAGTGATCTAGTCAAGAGCCTTAACTTCCTCATCTCGTAAGGAGAAGAGTGTGATCTCCACACCCCCTTTAATATTAAAAACGAAAGAAACCCAACTTCTTACTATAGGAAGCTTATGGACTAAGTATACTGACTACAAGGTGTTTTGGTTCTGGGAATGGAGCCTCTTGACAATGAAGCCCTTAGAATGTAGAAGACACTTCTTAGATGGGATCTTGGTCATACTTCATATGTTTATCTTTTCATGGGTATTTGTAAATGTCCTAATGCTGAAAGACACTGAAAATTTTTATACCGGGTTAATTAGTGATTGAAAACTACACTAGTAGCTTTTGAGAGGTGAATTTGCAACCTTAGACTGACAATGACAAACTAGAAAAGTGGCTTTTCATTACGGATATTATCTCACATTGAAAGAAATAAAACGTCTGACAGTCTTATTAAATAAAATTTCTCAGCAGTCAAGAACGACAAAGGTTAAGGATTCATGAGATTTCTCCCACTTCTCCCCAGACTGGTCACTTACTTTGCATTTGGTTAGACATTAAACCTGCTTTTGTAAGATGACAAGTGTTTCTGTTGTCACATTTATCTTTCAAAGCCATTTATCTGCGCCAGTGTGTGCACAGAACTTGGGTTTTCCAAGCCAATCCCATCAGATACCAGGTCAGCGTTCTGATCCAGAACACGCAGCAAAGCGTCTATGATGGGAAGTGCTCCCAGTAACCGTCACATGGGCATGCTGGTGCACCGTAGGCGACTTCCTGCAAACGGAGAATGCAGGTGGAGAGTAGTGAGGAGATTTGCCGTGTCAATTTGTGTCTTAGAGGAGAAAATGAGATTTCAGATATTGTAAAACAAGAAGTGGAGAGAGCTCTGAAAGCACAGTGGCCAACAGGAAAAGCACGGTGACACTTACCAGTCATGGTGTGGACTGTGAAGGGGGGAGGGCAATGGTTTGTAATGTGGGGTAGCTTGATGACACCTGACCCGAAACAGGTGTAAGTGACCCTGCAGGCGTAGGAGGGACAAAGTCCTCATCTTTGTCCTTACTCTCTCATCCTACAGTGAAGGATCTTAGTAATTTTATCACAGCGAAATCAGAGATGAAAATGTCAGTGTGCAGCAGTTGGTCAGTCGTGTAGTCTTAGGGGCTTGGCTTTCAGTTCTTTGTTGTTCTAAGAGAAGGTCTTGCCATGTAGCCTTAGTTAGTCTCAAACACACAGTCCTCCTGCGTCAGCCTTTCAGGTGCTTGGACTACAGTAAGGGACAACCAGCAGCCTCTAACAACCGTTAGATTTTTGTATATTAAAGTCTCATTCTACGTGATCAGTTTGTGCAACGTACTAAAGTCAGCACAGTTATTTCCACTCTTCAAGGCGATGTTAGACCAATCAGGACACTCAAGAAACTTCTATGGGACCATGCAGGACACTCCAGAAACTTCTCCAAGTCCTCAAAAAAAGTGTTGAACAATTAATTGAATTATACCTAGTATGAATGAATTTTTGTGCTTAAATAGGGCAAAATCTCCATGCACACGTTAAACTTAGCCTCCCTCTAACTACCCCTGGGAAGAAAAAGCTGAGGCCTGGTGGTAAAATTTGCTTTCAAGTTAATTCAGTTGTAACTGAGTAATGGTTAATATCTTGATATTGAGGTGCCTCGTGGACATTTCATGCCTCTCAAGTTAGGTATTTGTAAGATTTTCATTCCTGCTGTGAGAAACCCACAGCTGTCCTAAGAGATGCTGAACATGGCACCGAGTTTCTCTCTCATACACTTTCTTTCCTCAACCCCAATGCTCTAAAGAAATCAAGCCTTCGGGAGTCTTAAGAAAATCAGTCAAAGGACGGACAAGGAGAAAGGGTAAGTAAAGCACCTTTAATTGGTGGTAGTCTTTTTTTTTTTTTTTTGGTTAGCCTTTAACACCTTGTCAGACTTTGGGTTTTATAGTTATTTTCTGCTACAGATGAACTCTTGCGATCCAGAAATAGTGGGTCAAAGGAATGCAATCCATGCCATTCCTAAAGGGTGGCCGTGTAAATTCTCTACCAAATCTCTCATTCTATCTTTTCTTTTTTTTTTTTTTTGTTTTTATGAGACAGGGTTTTTGGATGCTGTCATTCCAGCCCGGCCTCGAACTCACAGAGATCCGCCTGCCTCTGCCTCCCGAGTGCTGGGATTAAAGGCGTGTGCCACCACCGCCCGGCAAATATTTTATTTATTATGTATACAGTGTTCTACCTGCATGTATGCCTGCAGGCCAGAAGAGAGCACTAGATCTCATCATAGATGGTTGTGAGCCACCATATGGTTGCTGGGAATTGAACTCAGGACCTCTGGAAGAACAGTCAGTGTTCTTAACCTCTGAGCCATCTCTCCAACCCTATCTTTTCTTAAATAATAAAAACATCTATCAGTTTTTAATGTGAATCAAGACATGTAAAGGAAAAATTGCAAAATGAGAGACATGATGCAGACTGGTTTAAACCAAGTACCTCTGTGGAAATTAATTAAGAAGCTGGAAAATGGGGGAGGGAGAAACATAGCTGAGCCAGTAAAATACCTACTGTGCAAGCATGTGGCCATGAGTTCAGATCCCCTTCACTCCTGTGAAGGCCTGGTAAATGGGGGACACCAGAAACACAGCGCTTAGGGAGCAGGAGACAGGGGGATGCCTGGAGCTTGCTGAGAAACCAGTCTAATTGAATCTGTGACTTCCAGGTTCAGTGAGAGATGTAAGGTAGAAAGAAATAGAGTAATACACTTATTGTTGACCTCTGGGACTCACATGCACACAGTCACACACATGTACACATAAACATACATGAACACGTGAATACAAGCACAGACCACATATATAAACACACAAAGGTGAGCCAAGGATGATTAAAGCAAGGTCTTTCTGTCCAGTTGTTTGTAGAAACATCTGACACCACTTTCGGGCACCTTGTCATTAACACAGAGTTATTATTGAGATGAAACACCATGGCCAAAACAGTCTGGGGAGGGAAGGGTTTATTTAGTTTACATTTCCACAGCACTGTTCACCATTGAAGGAAGTCAGGACAGGAACTCAGACATGGCAGGAACCTGGAGCAGGAACTGATGCAGAGGCCCTGGAAGGGAGCTGTTTACTGGCTTGCTTCTCATGGCTTGCTTAGACCGCTTTTTTATAGAATCCAGGGCCATGAGCCCAGGGATGGCAACACCCACAATGGGTTTGCACCACCCACCATGAGCTGGGCCCTCCCCCATCAACCACTAAGAAAATGCTCTACAGGCTTATGTACAACCCCATCTTATGGAGGCATTTTCTCATTGAGGTTCCCTCTTCTCAGGTGACTGTAGCTTGTGTCAAGTTGACATAAAACTAGCCAGTTCAATGGTTTTCAGAGACTATTGCATGTAATCTGACATAATTTTTAATGGAAAATGCATACAATGTATTTTGATCACTGGTTCCTCCCCTATTTCCCCCCAGATTCTTCCCACCTCCTTACCCAATTCAATGCCTTTCTTTCTTTAGAAAAACAAAAACAGTGAATCAGAAAAAAACAACAATGAAAAGCACAGGAAAACACACACACACACACACACACACACGCATGCACGCACGCACATACGCACACAATCTATGAAAACAAAATCTAAAACCATAATGTACAAAGGAATTCTAATACACCATCGGGTTCATTTTGTGTTGGTCATCTACTGCTAGGAACTGAGTCTACTTAAGTGAGGTTTATATGCCCAGTGACACTCCATTGGAGAAAACGTTTCCTTAGCAATCTGTTGTTGATTAGGAATAGCTTCTTGGATAGAGATGGAAGAGAGTCTACTACTTCTCCTTCTCAGTGATGGGACACCATCTGACTTGTTGCTGTGTAGACTGTGCACACTCGGCCAGTCTATGTGAAGTGATATGTGTGTCAATGTTCCTGAATGGCAGACATGGTTTCCTTAGTGTTGACATAAGTTTTAATGACTTTTTTTGCCCCCTACGAAGCCAAGACCTCAGACCAGTTACCAAAATGAACACCACAGCAGATAAAAACAGCAGAAGGTGAGAACCTCTTGGCAGTCTCTTTAGTCTCAGGCTTCTCTTGGCTTAACTGGTGACCTCCTCACTGGTGTGGAGGAAATCACAGCTTTGAATATGTCTTCTCTGTTGGCTTCAACGGACGCTGTAACGATACGCGACACACAATTACTGAAAGTAACGCTAAGTATTTTATGTAGAAAATTACTCACAAGTTACCAAACCCAGAGAAGCCCAGCAGATCTCAGCTAGCGACTGGACCGGAAGCCGAACTCCAGGAAAAGAGAGCGAGACTTCCTGTGCGCTGTCTTTTATGCCTTCCCCCGTAACGCCCATAGCCATGCCCAAAAGTGGGCTTGGCTAGTGACGTAGTTCCGCCTACGTATGTATACGTCTTCACGTCCAGCCGTATACGTCTTTAGTCCTGCCTAAAGTGGGTGTGGTTAGCGGTGTGGTAAACCGCCCTTTTATTACCTCATCTGTATGCGCATCTAGTAAGTCACATGTTTAATGGCGGCATAGACTTAGTAAGTCACATGTTTAATGGCGGCATCAGACTTCCTCCTACAATTCCCTTTTAGTCTAAAAAAGGACAACTAACTTGTGTCCATGAACAAAATGTATCAAACATCTATTCTATCTAAACCTAAACTTATCTTAAAGAAACACCCAAATATGAACACCTCCTTCCAATCCCAACTCTAAAATAATTGAAAACTAACACTAACAGGTGTAATCTTATAATATCAATAGTAGGGAGAGGGGCGTGGAATTCTCAAAACTACTTCCTGCTGAGATGGGACGATGATAATCTCATGGGGACCTGTGAAAAGAAAATGTTAGTATAACAAAATCTGGGTAGATCAGACAGTCTCAGTATGGCAGGAGATGCTTGATTGAAGTTCCTGACTGGGGTTCTAGTGTTGATTGAAGCTCTTATCTTGAAGCTCTGGTCAGATTGTAGAAGATGTGCTATTTCCGTTCCTTGGTCTGGAGTTGTGTCGAGTGATGTAGTTTCAAGCCAGTTTCAGGATAGTGCTTGTCAGGTGGAGTCAATGATGTGGGGCAGTTCAGATGCCTCCAGTCGAATCAGGTGAAGTCAAGGAAGTGGATCCTCATTCTCTTTCGGAAGCAGTTCAAGATTGCTGTCAGGAAATCCCTTGTTCTCTGGAAAACCCAAACATTAATGTTAACAAAGAAATATTTTAACTTTCATATGTATGCATACAGAAGAGGTGACAATAGGGAAGATGGAAAACCTGGAGGAAATTAGACTGTTCAGAAAAAGAAATCCATAGATAACAGTCCCTCATTTTATTTCTTCTGTCTTATATCAATGGCTCTTTGATATAATACAGAAATTCTGAATTGTATTTAAATAATATGCTTGGGTTTAGAGTAGGAGAGCCAATCCAACTCCAAAGCCAGCTTCAGTTAAATGAATGGGAACAGAGGTATGTGAAGAAATAAAGATAAAAGGATACTATGAAAAAGCAATATAGAGAGATTTAGACTTTGATACCACACAGTGTGTGTTTGATGGTCCTCAGGGTAGCTATTTATTCTTCTACAGGAATCCATATGTCCAGTATTCTTTGCTGAGTTTACCTGTGAATACAAAAACAAAGCACTTCTCTTTCCTTTTAGGAGGTCACTTTACCCATTGTGGACTATGAATTTGTAGATGGGCTGTTATCTTCCTCCTCCTGAGATGTTTTCTGTTCTGATCGAATTTTAATTAATTTTGATGGAACCCAAACCTTTTCTTCTCCTGTGGAAACAAAAGCATAACCCCTTCCCCAACGTAACACATATCCTGGTTTCCAGACTGAGGTCATAACATCCTTAAAATACACCGGTTGGTTCAGTTCAGAAGTCTTCTCTGTAGTCCAGTGTCTTTCTGCTGCAGTTTGTCCTTTTTCATCAGCATTAAGAAAATTCAACGTTAGTAAAGCATTGTGTAACCTGTGTCTAGGTGTCTTTGTTTTCCCTGGCTGTTTATGAAGCATCTCTTTTAAGGTTCGGTTAGACCTTTCAATTATCGCTTGTCCTGTGGGATTGTAAGGTATACCAGTTACATGTTTTATATTATAATATTTGAAGAATTGTTCCAATTTACTGGAGACATATGCTGGACCATTGTCAGTTTTTATTGTTTTAGGTATACCCATAACAGCCATCACCTCTAAGAGGTGTGTAATAACAGAATCAGCTTTTTCAGAGCTGAGGGCAGTAGCCCATTGGAAGCCTGAGAACGTGTCTATAGTATGGTGTACATATTTCAAACTGCCAAATTCTGGGAAGTGAAATACATCCATTTGCAAAAGTTCATTTCTGTGAACACCTTTAGGATTACAACCTGCTGGTAATGGAGTTTGAGTGTACAATGAGCAACTGGGACAATTTCTTACTATTTCTTTGGCTTGTTGCCAGGTGATAGAAAAATCCTTCTTTAAACCTTTGCTGTTAACATGGTGTTTCTTATGAAATTCTGAAGCTTCCAACACATGACCTACTAATAAACGATCAATTTCATCATTGCCTTGTGCCAGAGGACCTGGCAGACCTGTATGGGATCTGATGTGTGTTATATATATAGGATGAGTCCTGTTTCTGATGATTTCCTGCAATTGTAAAAACAATGAGGTTAATTCTGTATTATCAGGAACAAATTCTGCAGTCTCAATGTGCAGGACATCTCTTTCTGCATACTGAGAATCCGTGACTATATTGAGAGGCTCTGTAAAGTCTTTAAGTACCATGAGAATGGCATATAACTCTGCCTTTTGTACGGAGTTGTAAGGGCTTTGAACTACTTTACTTATTTTTCCTGATTTATACCCTGCTTTACCTGATTTGTTTGCATCCGTGTAGAAGGTAAGAACTCCAGAAATAGGTGTTTGCCTCACGATACGTGGAAGGATCCAAATTGTTTTCTTTATGAATTTGATTCTCTCTGTTTTGGGATAGTTATTACTAATACTTCCCAAAAAGTCACTGCAAGCTATTTGCCAATACTCATTATCCTTCCATAAGGAGGAAATTTCCTCATTCGTTAACGGTACAATAATTTCAGCTGGGTCTTTCCCAGTCAGTTGACGAAGCCTTAATTTACCTTTTAATATCAAATCAGATATCTTTTCTATATATGTTTTCAATTTTTTATTTTGTTTATGTGGCAGAAATACCCATTCTAGAATGATGTCGTCCCTCTGCATTAATATTCCTGAGGGGTATTCTCTAGATGGTAAAATAACCAGAATACAGTCCAGATTTGGATCCACACGGTCCACATGTGCTTCTAATATTCTCTTTTCTACCCATTCTAATTCTTTTTCAGCCTCAGCTGATAGTACTCGTGGGCTGTTTAGGTCTTTATCTCCTTTTAAAGCCATTTTCAGGTGTTTTAAATCATGCCCTTCTACACCAATAATCGTCTGTAATTGAGAGATTTCTCCTAATAGTTTTTGAAGATCATTAAGAGTCTGGTAACGATCTCTTCTGATCTGTACTTTCTGTGGTCTAATTTTCTGAGCATCTATTTTATAACCTAAATAGTTAATAGAATCTCCTCTTTGTATTTTTTCTGGGGCAATTTGTAATCCCCAGCGAGGCAAAATTTCCTTTACTGCCTCAAACATCTTTTCCAAAGTATCCTTATTTGAATCAGACAATAATATGTCATCCATATAATGATATATTAACGAATGTGGAAATTTTTTACGAATTATTTCTAGAGGTTTATTCACAAAATATTGACACAAAGTTGGACTGTTTAACATACCTTGAGGTAGTACCTTCCACTGGAATCTCTGTACCGGACGGGAATTATTATAGGTAGGTACTGTGAAGGCGAACTTTTCTCTGTCGTTTTCTTGTAGCGGTATGGTGAAGAAACAATCTTTTAAGTCTATAACTATAATTGGCCAATCCTTAGGAATTAGAGAAGGTAACGGCATCCCAGGTTGTAGAGACCCCATAGGCTGAATTACCTTGTTGATGGCTCTAAGATCAGTAACCATTCTCCACTTACCAGACTTCTTCTTGACAACAAAAACAGGCGAATTCCACGCACTAGTTGATTCCTCAATGTGTCCAGCATCTAGCTGTTCCTGAACTAACTTCTCCAAAGCCTCTAACTTCTCAGATGTCATAGGCCATTGACTCACCCAGACGGGTTCATCTGTCAGCCATTTTAATGGTAGAGCTTTTGGTTGCTCTGTAGGTTTGGCACTAGCATCTTGCTTCTGCACAGCCTGTACATTTGGCATCTGTTTTCTGTACTGTCTTACTATATTCTTACTACCACTAAGAGCTTGTCTATAATTCCTAGCTGATACAGGAGGAATTTTAATCTGCGTATTCCATTGCTGGAGTAGATCACGACCCCAGAGGTTTATAGCAATATCTGCAACATATGGCTTTAACCTTCCTCTCTGTCCTTCTGGCCCAATAAAGTCAATCCATCTAACGCTCTGTTTAACTTCAGATAGGGTTCCAATCCCTAAGAATTGAACATTAACCTCTTTTAAAGCCCAGTTTTGTGGCCAGGACTGCTGATTAAGGATAGTGACGTCACTTCCGGTGTCCAGTAATCCGTAAATCACCCTATTATTTACCTTAACCGGAAGTTTGGGTCTATGATATTGTATAGAAGTTTGCCAAAATATATGTTTTGTATCTCCTCCTGATGTAATTGATTCATCCTCTGGAGCTAATGTATTATCCAGTGCCGTATTATTTACAATGGGCAGTGGATCTTCTAATTGTCCTGGGAGAGGCTGTCCTCCACTGTCACTGGGAATGACCGGATAATCTTCCTTTTCTAATTGTCCTGGGAGAGGCTGTCCTCCATTGTCACTGGGAATGACCAGATAATCTTCCTTTTCGGGGCTCCATTGAGCCCCGGAAGCCCGTTTCCCTGCTGTAAAGATCTACCTTGTCTGTCTATTGTGGAATAGCATTCATCAGTCCAATGGCACCCCTTCCCACACCTCCTGCAAAGACCAGGAGGCTTAGGCCTTCTGTTTGATGCATTCCTGGTAAAAGCATTATTTCTAGGAATGCGTTGTCTACAGTTCCTACTAAGATGTCCTATTCTACCACAGTTAAAGCATGTTGGATCTTTACACCTATTTAAATTCTTTGAGATTGCCTTCCCTACCCATGCCTCTATATCATCACAGGTAGGGTATTTGGCATCCTGGTGCCTCCTCAAGCCTGTAGAAATAGCTTCACCTACCCAAGCTCCTGTATCCTGACTTTTACATTCCAGGTTCGCTGTATGCAGAACCCATTCCTCCAATGGCGCTGATCTTATTTTTAATGGCCAAATTACCTGCCTGCATTGAGGATTCGCGTTCTCATACGCCAAAGATTCTATAAGGAGACGCCTGGATTCTGGGTTCGCTACCTGTACCTCTACTGCTCTGGATAATCTCTCTAAAAATTCAGTGAACCTTTCCCTTGGGCCCTGTAATACCTTGGTGTAGGGTTGCATTATCTCTCCTGTTTCACAAACCTTATCCAAGGCATTTAAAGCAACTGTACGGCACAAAGACAACATGTGCTCGTCATATGCAGATTGAACCTGCGTGTCAGCATAAGGACCCTCCCCAAGAATCTTGTCTTGGGGTACTTCCTGACCGTTCTGTAATTCCTGAATTTCTATTGCTTTTGCTTCTTGCCTCCATAAAGCTCTCCATTGAATTTGGCAAGAATTTTCGAGCACTGCAGAGGCTAATTGGGCCCAGTCTTTTGGGGTTACTTTATTTACAGTAGCCCATGAGGTTAGGAGCTCTCTGACAAAGGGAGAATGAAGACCATACATGACAATGGCCTCCTTAATATTTTTTAGATCCTTCATCTGTATAGGCTCCCAGTGGTAAGCAATGGGACCATTTGATTGTTTTTTCGTTGCTGGTTTTTCTGATACAGATACTGGAAAAACCATAGGGGAATGCATAGCAACCTTAGGGAAATCATTCCGGCATTTGAGAAGCTTTGGGAAACTCCTGTCCTGACCTGTTGCCTGTATTTCTGATTCTGAAGTATCAGATTGAGCGTCTTCTAAATCCTGCAGTCTATTCATCATTGTTTCTCTGACCTCTTGAAGTTCTTGGGACAAATGATTTTCTAAGGATGTCATGGAATCTTTCATTTTTTTACATTCATCATTTACATGTGATTCCAAATTTCTAATATTCTCATCCTTAGCAAGTACCTCAATAGCATGTAAACTGCCTTCTACAAATGATATTCTATCAGTTAGTTTACCATTGCTCTCAGACATGGAACAATTCTTTTCTGCTAGCATTTCAATTTTATGTTCCAGTCTTTGTAATTTGCTAGTGAAATCATCAAACATGGAACCGTGTTTGTCGTTAAATGTTTCCACATTATGTTCCAATTTTTCAATTCTATCTATGGAACACATTTTTCCTGAAAATAATTCAATTTTGTGTTCCGTCTCTTTAAACCTGTTCGTCAGACCTACATTATCATTTTTAATATCCTGAATATTTTCTACCAACCCTTTCTTACTCTCCTGCAATGAATTTTGCATTTCCTGAATCCTTTGTATTAAGATTTCAAAACTATCCTGCGATGACTGTATGACCTGTATAAGTTTATTCCTATTTTTGAGCCATTTCATTAACAAAATTATATTGATTATGAAGCTAATAATCACCATCATGGGTAGGAAGCACCTTTCAGGTAGGTCCTCAACCCTTTCTAAAATCCCATCCATACAAAAACCAAGAAAATTCTTAACATCCTGCATCATAGTGTTAGCTGTTGACATTGTATAAAGCAGTTACATTTGTTACCAATGGAGTAATTCAGGCCGAAATCAACAGGCTGCCAGCGAAAGAGCACGTGGCCGGAGTCAGCTGGCCGCCAGTAAAACAGCACGTGGCCGCGAGAGAAACCTTGGAATACCTAACCTTACCGGCAGGTAGAAGGTGCTGGTTCCTGGCGGCAGTAATCGTGCCTTGCCGAGCGAAGTGGTGAGGAACTTAGCGAAAGGAGAGTCCACGTGTGCCTGGTCAGGCCGAGAGAAGCGCCTGGGTCCCGATTCCAATCCCGCTCCGACACCAAATTGTTGGCTTCAACGGACGCTGTAACGATACGCGACACACAATTACTGAAAGTAACGCTAAGTATTTTATGTAGAAAATTACTCACAAGTTACCAAACCCAGAGAAGCCCAGCAGATCTCAGCTAGCGACTGGACTGGAAGCCGAACTCCAGGAAAAGAGAGCGAGACTTCCTGTGCGCTGTCTTTTATGCCTTCCCCCCGTAACGCCCATAGCCATGCCCAAAAGTGGGCTTGGCTAGTGACGTAGTTCCGCCTACGTATGTATACGTCTTCACGTCCAGCCGTATACGTCTTTAGTCCTGCCTAAAGTGGGTGTGGTTAGCGGTGTGGTAAACCGCCCTTTTATTACCTCATCTGTATGCGCATCTAGTAAGTCACATGTTTAATGGCGGCATAGACTCAGTAAGTCACATGTTTAATGGCGGCATCAGACTTCCTCCTACATTCTCTCTTTTGTATCTTACTTCTGCAGCCTTCTTTTTTTTTTATTAATATTTTTTATTTTCCATTTTAAATTTAGATAAGAAACAAGGTTGCTTCACAAGTCAGTACGAGGTCCCTCTCCCTTTCCCTCCCCTCCTCCCGTGCCCTCCCCGCATCCCCCCCCCCGTTATCCCCTCATTCCCCCAGGGAGGGTGAGGCCCTCCATGGGGGTGTCCATAGTCTCTGCAGCCTTCTTAAGTACGTTGAAGAATGTATTGTTATTACATTGAAATTTGCACTTATGTATAGCATGAAAAAATCTTGGAGATTTTTTTATATTACTTGGTTACTTTTGAACTAAAATGTATTTGATATCAGTATAATAATTTTCACAGAAAGCTTGAATTAATCACTATAGAAATGCTAAATGCTCACCGGGTAGTGGTGGCGCATGCCTTTAATCCCAGCACTCGGGAGGCAGAGGCAGGTGGATCTCTGTGAGTTCGAGGCTGGGCTGGACCGATAGCCTCCAAAACAATACAGAGAAACCCTGTCTCGAAAAACCAAAAAAAAAAAAAAAAAAAAAAAAAAAAAAGAAATGCTAAATGCTGAATGGGTGATAAACATCTAATTCTATGGAAATGTCATAAAACTAATCCAACCATTCTTTTCGTAAGAAGTAGAGATCTTGATAATGTTTTGAAGATCGACCCCAAAGGACATGAAAATACCTCTGGGTAAGTCTCACCAATGTCCCTAATTCTGTTTTCTAAATAATAACCAGAAGGCAAATGATTTGACTTTCTAGCTTTATGGCCAATAAGGTGGGAGATGTGGCCATTCTTCCTTGTCTTCCACTAATATATTTATTTTACAGTAATTGTCTCAACATCTAAGACTGAGTAACTTTTCTTTTTGATTTGGGGCATTGATTTCTTTTTAAGGATTGATGAGAGAGTAGAATTCTTTATCTAGAGAATGTAGCTTTCTCATAGTTTTCAAAGTACATTCACAGAATGACATAGACAGCCAAGCCAGCCTTGACTAAGATTCTCACAGGTCACCTTCTCTAAGGATGGTTTCAGCCACAGCCTAGACAAGGCTGGGTCAGTACCTAAATGGGAGTAAGGACTCACTGCTGTATCACCTGTCCAGAACTATGATGCCTTTGGTACCCAGTGCCTACATCTACCATCCCCCGCTGTCCACTTTGAGCATAGCTTATGTGCCTCTTGATTTTTAACGGGGCAGCCTGTAGACCCAGTAAGAAGAGAGCCTTTATGTTCCCTACTAGGTAATGAGTTTTGGTTTTTAAATCTTGCTCTTTGTAACTAATAATAATTTATTCTGAGGCAAAAGATATTTAAAAGGTTTTGACATGGGCATGATTTATAGGGTTATATGAGGGCACGCTTTTTAGTATTTTTAATTTTGTTATACCATTATGTTGTCATCATTATTTTCTTATTATCAAAAAACAAAGAGATTGCATCAATTTGTTGAATGGTAATTTGTATTCAGTCTGTTTCTAGTGAATAACTTCATCTACCTTACCTTGCTTCGAAATGGCTGATTAGACGGAGCCTAACTAGACGGATCTGCACACTTAGTTCAGGAAGAAGTGTCCCTGTGCTCATATTATGAGAACAGAGCAGATGTACACGTGTGTGTGTGTGTGTGTGTGTGTGTGTGTGTATGTGTGTGTGTTGTTAGCAAAGGAACAACCTGAAATGACCTTCAGCTTGAGATAGAAAACAACTGTCATTTTCATTTAGAACTTTAGATGTTCACACTGGTACAGAGAACTTTTGCATGTATTGCTTCTTAATATCTGAGCTGTTATTCATTTGATTAGTGCTTTATTTTAGTGACATTCATTAGACCTCATTTCCTTTTCTAAAGCAAACAAGACGTCGATGGATTGATTAAAGTGAATCCTGAAACACATAAAAATATGAAGAGGTAATGTGTCTACAGCTTCTGTTTGCTAGGCATCTACACATCAAAATACTAGTGTTCATGCTTGGGACAGTGGGTTGAAGCCCAAGCAGCTCATTTGTTTTCTCAAACACATTTTATTAAGCAGTTTGACAGGAGTGACATTGATGGCATTTGTTACCTGGTAACTTTGAGAAATTACAAGACAGTTTTGAATAAGCCTTTCAGCTATATTATTTCACTTCGGATTAGTGTGTATGTGTATGGATAGTGTGTGAAGTCTATGTGTCAGAATTAGATCTATAAAAGGGTGTGAGTGAGTGTATTAGTAGAGGTATGCATGATAGCACATGCGTATGTAAGAGCAGAGTATATATGGATGTGTGCGTGTACATGTGTGTGTGTGTGTGTGTGTGTGTGTTTGCAGGTCAGTGCACACGTGTGTATGTGCATGTGAACTGTGTTTTCAAATGGAACTTGTTGCCATGTAGCTGAAAATGGTGTATCAAATACTTTCATGAACTCTTTTCCACTTAGTTAACTCAGCACATGATATTATTTGTTGATTCTGAAATGTGTCACCAATGCCCCAGAGGCCATGCAGGCAGAGCAAAGCTCAGCTAGCTAAAAGCTGTTGCACACACTGCCAAGCTGCCCTGCTTTTGGCTGTGCGGCACAGTCAGAGGCACAACCACCCAGTGAATTTGGCAAAACAACTAAATCTTGCATCCTTGTTGAGAAAAACAAAAGAAAACATTGGTCTCTGACTCTTTAAGTGGTTCAGGAAGATAACTGAGGTATTAATGTGAACAGGGACTCTGAAAACCGCATTTCAAACTCAGCTTCTGACTGACTATGTCACTGACCCTGTTTAATGAATGTCTTAAGTTACTTTTCTATCGCTGTGATAAAGACCACTCCTTACAGTTTAATATCACAGCCCATCTCTAACGGAAGTCATAAGAGGGCAGGAAACTTGAGGCAGAACTGGTGCAGAGGCCATGAGGAAGTTACTTACTGGCTTGCTCCTCGGGACTTGGTCAGTAAGCTTTCTTATACCATCCAGGACCTCCCCCCACACCCATGGGTGGCATTACTTGCTTATGTGGAAGGTGCACCCACATAAAAAATCAATCAAGAAAACACAACAAATGTTTGATCAAAGGCAAATTTTATAGGGACATTCTTCTCAATTGAGGTTCCCTCTTCCAAAATGACTCCAGCATGCGTCAAGTTGACTTAAAACTAGCCAGTATCTACCTCATCTACCAAAGAGGATTCATAGAACTCTTGTGCTCAGACATATTAGATAAAAACAATGAGTGAAAAGTCAGTGTTTGGAAAACATTCAGATTAATTACATTTTCATAATGGTCTAGACAGTCTTCATACATTTAGTTCATCTTGACATCTAAAATTATTTTCCTACTTAATATTTATTGGAACACTTCAAACTGTGACCTATTATTGTTTGTATATTGAAATGGATATGCATGCACATGATTAGATATATATGTATATGCATATGTTTTAGAGGCTTGCTTACATTTGTTTGTTCCTATATAAGCACATGGGTATGCTTACAAGTGGGGATATGTGCCTGTGTAGTATACAGGTTGACATGTACATAAATGTGTGCATGTATTGTATTTTGTACAAGTGAATTATTGCACATATGAAAATAGTGGTTGAGTGTTCATGTGTGTATGTATACATGAATGTATGTATACATGGATGTATGTGTGTATGTGTGTGAACACATGTAAAATGTGTGTCCATATTTGTATGTGTGTGCTTTCTATGAGGTTTTAAGGATAGTACTTTCAATTTACTTTTTACATAACGAGACTCTGTGGATATTTTAAATATATAGTTAGGGGCTCTGTCAATAACAAGTATGAGAACCTGAGTTCAATCCTCAGAATCCTTGAAAAACCGAGGCATTTCAACAGGGTCCTGTAATTCCAGTCCTAGGATGGTAGAGACAGGAGGATCACTGGGCATAACTTCTCAGCTAGTCTTAACCAAATCAATGTACTCTACATTCAATATGAAGCCTTTTTCTCTAAACAGTCACATGAAGAGTGATATAAGAAAACACAAGATATCAACCTTCGGCATGTACACACACACACACACACACACACACAGACACATATGTGGGGAGAAAGATATATATATATATATATAGATCTCTCTCTATATATATATATATAAAGATACATATAGATATATAGAGAAAGAGAGAGAGTGAGAGCGAGAGATAGAGAGGGAGATAGATGATAGATGATAGATGATAGATAGATAGATAGATAGATAGATAGATAGATAGATAGATAACAAGCTTTAAGCTTTCACTGTTTTTCCATCTTGGGTGGAATAAAATTATAATGATCAGAGACAGCCTTTTGCTTTTCAATGTGTCCCATCAAATAAATCTTTTATAGTTCAAGTGTATTCTTGCATTAAGGCATTTACACATGCTGTTCCTATTGTCTGGATTACTGTCACCATACTGTCTTCCTTTCAAACAGAGGCCATTTTTGACTATTAAATATGATGTAGTTACACACTCTCCCCCATTTATCCTCAGTACCACAAATACCAAATACTAAGTTTAAAGCACAGCATATATTGTTAGCCGAAAAATTGTGCCACTCACTTAGATGTTTGTCTTTGCTCTGCTTTTCCCCAGCTTGGAATGGAAACCTCAAGTAGGCTAATTCTGTGTCTGTTAGATCATCCGTCTTTGCCATTTGTGGACCACAAGAATATATAAGTACTGACGATATATACACTATGAGGCAACGATTCACCCAGTTAAACTTCAAATAGCATTTTGTTATAATAATTAGATTACTACATTAATTAGTTTTTTCTTTATTGACTTCATGCAATAATAATTTAAATAAACCTATACAGTTATAGGGCTCATTTAATGTTTAAAGAGACTGAAGTCTACATTATCCAATGAGAGCAAACTCCTCAACCAACTTCCCAAAGAAAGGGCTTATGGTGCTTGCTGCCCTGTTATTTATTTGAACACTAAAATCATTCAGTTGTTACCTGGGATTTTCCCCTAGGACCATGTAATTCAAATCCCAGGGGCTTTGTTTAGGTCAATAACAGCAAAGGTTAATCTGAGTACAGCAGTTGCTTCTGTGGGGTTAATCGTTTCATTATTGTCATAATGAAGCTCCACATATTTTCTTTGCTGTCTTTAGTCTGAATATCATCTTGAGACATCTGGATCAAGCAAAAAGAAAAAAAAACTTGGGTCAACATCTGGTGGCTTCTAAACACTGTATCTTTGATGTTGTGTAAATGAAACCTCAGAGACATCTTGGTGGGGTCATCAAGTGTGGAGAGAGAGTGGTGACGCTGGCTTCTGAGGGGGCTCTACTCACCATGTGGTACTCTCTGTAGATCAGAGAGTACTTGCTGGTGAGATGTATGTGAGGAGCGCATGCATGTGCAGCAAGAGAAGCCTCATCCCAGGGAGATCAGAAGCAACCGTGGAGTTAAGGCCAACAGTAAAGTGCTCAAGTGTTTTCAGCAACTGCGGAGTTCGTAGTTCAGCATTTCAGAGGTCTGTAGACCTTAGTTTTCTTATTGTTTGTTCCCAAAACAAGTGGGAACAATGTGTCATTCTGATGGGTACTAAATTCCAGGAGTAGATACCAGGTTGTGTATAGTGTATTTTAAACAAATTGGTTTATTTACCCTAATGCAGTTTTGTAATAGGAAACTTACCAAAAATATCAACAAAATGTAGATTTTAAAAAAGTTTGTTTTAAGCCAGGCGGTGGTGGTCCACCCCTTTAATCCCAACAGTTGGGAGACAGAGGCAGGCAGATCTCTGTGAGTTTGAGGCCAGCCTGGTTTACAAAGCTACACAGAGAAACCCTGTCTCTAAACACCAAAATAAATAAATAAAGTTTGATTTACATATGTTGGAGGTTGCTACAAAGAGAGAATGTTTTCTGGAATGCTTTATGAGACAAGTATATGGTCTAATTAAAAAAATGTTTTGTATACTTGGAAGTGGTTAATAGGGTACCATTAGATGCAGAGATTTAGTGAAGTTTTAGAAATAGCCAAATGTCTGAAAGATTAAAATATTATCTCACCAAGTCTCACACATATACATATACATACATACACACACACACACACACACACACACACACATATATATATACACACATATACATACCCCTCCATCCCTGCACAAACACCTTTAACTCTTTGGCATGATCTCAATGAGTGTTTATACGGTTTCTGAGATGTAATGAATAGTTTCATTCTACTAGTTGAAAAATCTACCATTAACCATTCTTTTTTTTTCCCTCAATGTTTTAAAGGGGCCAGAGCCTTGAGAATCTGATCAGAGTCAGCCCGGAAGTGAACAGGAGTCATCAAGGGTGAGAGAATTATGTCTTTTCTCTCTTCTTTCCCATATCAATATGTAACACTTATGAACAGAAGAGCTGGGATTCTTGGACCCAGAAAGTCTGGAGCTCATTGCTTCTGAGACGGGGTCCCGAGCAGGTCCATGACACTGAGCAGCAGCTGGCCAGTCACAGCATGGCATTCCTGTGCTTCACCTGTCACAGGAAGCAGAGAGCAGAAAGGACCAAGGGGAATAATGGCTCTAAGATTCCTTTTAAACAAAAGTGCTGTAAATGGAAATTATTACCAAAACGCCATTGAGTTGGGGCTGTAGGATCAGCATGGCTGTTTCTGGAGACAGGATACGTTTTTTGGCAAACCATTGCTTTGTTCCAAAATAAGCTCATGAAAAACAATCTCAACCATGCGCCAATGCTGGGATTTGTTTTCAGAATGAGTGGGAAAGGAAGCCAGTCTGTCACTGAAGCCAGGGTACCACAGATGTGTTCAAAGGTTGAAGCTTTGCTCCTTAAGCTGAAGATTTAGACCAGTATTGATTTCTATCAAAACTTAACCCTAACATTTATTTTGAGGGCCTATAGATTCATAGGATTCAAGGCAAAACGGCCAGTTGGTTTAATTCCATTTTTTATTGAATGGATTTTGTTTGGTTTGTCTGTTTAAAGTGCCAAAGATCTTAATAATTACATTGAGGTAAATTTGGCAACAGGAAAAGGTTTTCAAGGGTAAGATTTAGTATGGGCCCCTTTCTGTTTCATCTCCATTTCAAGCTGGTCATTGTTTACAAGTTTAAGGAAATAGCTAAATTGACTGATTCCAACTGAAGTGATGACTCCACCACCTCATATCTGAGACACTAGAGCTTTTGTCAGGTGATTTCCAGCACAGTGAAGGTGCCTGCGAACATTTAGGTTCAAGTTGTTTTTCAATAAATACAGGAAACATTGTTTTTGATTGGCTCCTTTTAATGGAAGTATGGTGCAGAAAAGGGGAGAACCTGGTAGGCTACAACCCCCAGATGTGAGTCTGGGTGTCATCTTGGACTCCTCAGGACTGGTCAGTTTTTTGGGGCTTTGACTTTGTCATTAGCTGAGGAGCCGGAGCTGTCTGTTGTGTCCATGGGACACTTTCAATCCAAGCCCATTACTAAATTTCAAAGTGACTGGGGTCAAGATTTTAGTAAATATTTTGCAATAAAATATCTATCAGTTTAAACAAATCATTTCAACCATCCTTTGTAATGTAATTAATAAGGTTCTTCTCTATTTTTAAGGGGTCAAAATCTTGACAATTTCATCAAAGCTGTGCTCACAACCAACAGAGCTAACCAAGGGTAAGGTTTAGGAAACTTTTATCTCTCCTTTTTTTTTTATCCATTTCACTCTTAAAAATCAGAGAAATACTATATACTGCCTAGAGACATTCCTTAGAGGGAATGCGAAAACAAAAACAGGTATGTCGTCACCCCACAGTCTGAAACTGAAGCCCCTACATAGGCTTCCCTGGCTATGGGCTGTGGTGGGAGACAGGGATTCCTTGAAATATAGGGGTGAACTCATTCCAGTGTAGCATATGTAGTCCATGCTCGGTGCTTAAAGTAAATTGGAATCCCATGGGGTAAGACAGCATCCTAAAAGGATTTTTTAAAACAAAGCAGCTGAAATAAAAGTCTGCAGATGACAAAAGGTTTTCCCGTCTTCTTCCTCCATTTATTCCCTTTCTTCTTTTTGCTAAAACCCAGCCAATTCTAAAGTTAGAAAGTCTGTGTGCGTGTGTGTGTGTGCGCGAGTGTGTGTGTGTGTGTGCGAGTGTGTGTGTGTCCTCCCCTGCGTGTGAATCTATGTGTGAGAATTCTAAAGTTAGAAAGTCTGTGTGTGTGTGTGTGTGTGTGTGTGTGTGTGTGTGTGTGTGTGTGTGTCCTCTCCTGCATGCGAATCTATATGTGGGGGCTGATTAATGTATTGTGTGTGTGTCAAAGTCAAAGGTTGACACAGTGTGTCTTCTCCAGCTCTTTTCACCTTCTACTGCAGCTCACAAATTAGCCTAGTCCAGCTAGGACTCAGCACAGCTAGCTAGCCAGCACACTCTGGTAACCTCTGCCTGTGCTCTCGCCTGCCTAGCATCTTAATGGGTCCTAGAAATCCAAATTACAGTCTTTATGGTTGTGTACCAAGTGCTGCCCACTGACCCGTGTCCCTAGCCTAAGAGTCCATTTTTAAAAAATCACATTCGATTCATTGAAAAGTAAAAATGATATTTGTATTTCATATAGAAAGAAATTTCCTTATAACATACCATGTCAAATCAACAAAGAAACATAACCAAACCATACACATACATTGCTATGTCGGCTTGAATTGAGTTAGACCTGAATGGTGCGTAGAGAGAGGCCTTCTTCCCAGCTGTTTCCTGTTTCTGAGAATAGGGGTGCTCTGTTTTACTACAGTGCGAACAACTGTAACAAACAACAAAGACCACACCAGAAGTCCACAGCAGCTTTTCTCAAAGGTCTAAGTAGCAGATAGATCAGATGTGAGAGGTCAAAATAATTTCTCACTTAACTACATAATCCTCTTACTACTGTGAAAGCAAATAGAAAACACCTTGTGACTAAATGGGAGTGTCTGTGTCCTAGTAAATCTTTATTATAAAACCAGTATGTAGGAGGAACTTATCCTGGCGGCCTTGATCAGATACTCCCTAGCCTAGATAGTTTGTCTTTGGAGGGGAGAGGTCATTCAGTTCATCGTGCGGTTGAAGCAACTTCTCAAACACAGCCAGCTGCCCCATTCTGTGAACATGGTTTCATCTTAGTGAGACTAAGATGGAGACGTTCATCCTGTGTCTCAACCTTTAGTGTTGAGTTGTCCTGAGATTCTCATAACTCAAGTAAGGATAAACTCTCTTGCCAGACGCTGAATTTAGAAACCAAGTGATTACTTTACAGTAACGTTAGAGTCCAGCACGCGTCGAATGGCCGTTCTTACTGTAAAGAAACCCACTGTGATGTGTAGACTCTGTGTCTGGTTCACTTTTGGTATGGGACTTTTTTATTTGCAAATCGTGTATAATAAAGTTTATTTAAAAAGAGGATTCAAGTCATGCTGGTGTTTTAAATAGCCAAATACAAATTTGATTTGGTAGCAAGGTTGAGAAGTATAAAGTGATTGCTCTTAGTTGACCTTGTCAGATATTACAATGCATTATTTTCAGGAACTAAGACCTGGGCACTCTTATCAAAGTGACCTCCTCAGCAAACAAACAAAAAATCCTACAATTTATGTAAATGGAGCAGGATTATTTGGTTAAAGATATTTCAAAGGAGGTGATAAAAAAATGAGAACATGATTTGCTGATCTGTAAAATACTAGACAGGGTTTTTCTTTTATTATTGCTTCCATTTATTTCACTATAATATTGTTAAAGATGATAATGCTGATACTAATTCTGTATAATTACTACTTGAGCAATTCCCTGTGACACAATAATCACATAAGTAGGTTAATATTGCAAATTCTTAGTTAATAAGTTATTAATGTATAAAAATGAATAAACTGAAAATATCAGTTTCCTGCTTTCTCATAATTACTGGATTAATATTTAAATGACTTATGAGAAAACTGGCAATATAACAGGTTTATAGTTAATTAGAATATTTTTGCATGACATTGAACATACTTCTCTTCTTGAGAAATTGAGATTGTTTATAAATTGGAATAACTCCAAGCTATCACTCATAAAGCTGTTGTGAGAATAATATTGGTATGGAATATGCAGATGGAAGGAGCTACTGAGAACATGATGGGGAAGAAGGATGTTCAGGGAGAGAACACAGGGTTCACGATACGTTTGTTCAGGGTTCAAATGGGGTTCACTTTCAGCATTTCTTGGGGATCTAGCTCCAGGAAGTGTCTTAATCCTTATGAAACTCTTTATAAGGGTTGGTACTGGCTACCCCTTTACTCTTAGAGTTCAAGCTTAAGGTAGGAGACGTTAGAGTTCAAGACCAGCCTGCTGTTCTACAAAGGAAGTAGGGAGACCCTGTCTGAAAACAAAACAAAATCCAAAAGTAATTAATGATCTGAGATAGACACTGGGTTTATTCTATGTTCCCATCACACACACACACACACACACACACACACACACACACACACACACACGTTTCTTTTTTTTGTTGTTTTTTTTCGAGACAGGGTTTCTCTGTATTGTTTTGGAGACTGCCCTGGAACTCGCTTTGTAGACCAGGCTGGCCTTGAACTCACAGAGATCCGCCTGCCTCTGCCTCCCGAGTGCTGGGATTAAAGGCGTGCGCCACCAACGCCTCACACACACGTTTCTTACTGACTTTGACTCTTCCTTTTACTTTGTTTTAGCAATCGACATGGTCTTGATGAACTTATTAATACAAGCCCCAAAGCTGTCAAAACTACTGCTGGGTAAGGAAAATATTACATTTTGTTTTCTTCTTAACTAAACATAATATGAATATAAATACCATAATCGTTTTATCGGGAAATGGAATGAAATTATTGAAATATCATCACTATTTTTATATGTACCTGGAAATTCACATGTTAATTTCAGTATTATGACATAGCAAAATGCAGGCAGGTGAACACTGTACATAGTGGGGCCTTCTCCTAGGCTTAAGTAAAATAATAGATGGGTCAACCAAGAAGGGGAGGCAGGGACATAGCTGAGCCAGAAGCTGGTACATTCTGTTTGGTTTGTAAAGTATTAACGTTAAGGTTTTGTTTCTGAAGTTAAAATTTATTAATGATAGCTGTGTGGTTAAACCAAGATGCCTCATTTGATATATCATTAGTAGTAAGTGCATTTACTCTTTGTGAAAGAGTTTGCTGGGGAAACAGTATAAAGTTTAGGAGGCTCATTGTTCTTTACAGGGCTTGAGCTAACAAAACATATATGAACTTAAATTTAATAACTCTTTATTTTGTTTCTCCAAGATAAATATACTTTTGTATAAATAAAGTCTTAGGAATGTTTTCATAATTTCCATTTCAAAGTCATAAAACCTTACGGATGGGATGGAGGAAACATGGGAAATCCTAACTCAGTTGATGGAAACAACTTTGAAAACCACTGTTGCAGCTGAATCTGCTTTGTAGAAGAGGGAATAAGGACTCAGAGAGGTCAAGCGACTTGTCCGGGGTCACAGAGAAAATTAAGGGAAGACTGAGAGTAGTTCTGTGATCACTGAGGCAGTAACTAATCACTGAGCACCTACTGGGTTCACAGCTTTCACTAGGTGTCATTTGCTTGCGTGTTAGGTCTAATTACAGGCCGTGGACACCAAAAAGAGAATTCGGTCGTCATACTCAATCTTATTAACAGCAGGCAATTAGCATAGATTAACGCTAATTATGTACCAAGGCAGAGAGATGTAACGCTAAGACAATCATAGGTTGTCAGTTTAATACATTACATTTAGGAGCCCCCTCACCCCCGTGTACTGCCAGTTGAATATAGAATGTATTGTCAGTGAGCTGCATTTAAAAAGAAAAAATGAAATGAAAGGCTGTTGCAATAAACATTACAGGCAATAACAACTGTATTCCTGGAGTTGATGTTAGAGAGGACAGAGCTGTAGGCTGTGTCTGGTCCAAGTTCCTCATTTTCACGTGATAAATGACCAAGGCTTGGGCACAAAGAAAATAAAAATCTGTCTTCTATGAGGTCCTGTGGTTTCCAGATGAATTCTGTTCTTGACTACACAGCACAGAGTCTTCAATCTTCTAATAAATGAAGGTTCATTAAATGTCTCAGAAAACCCAGGGGGCTACAAGGATAGGTTGGGGCTTGTGTTTTAGGACAGCTAGGAAGTGTCCCTCAGTGGTCTGACAGGGTCACTTGAAGGATGGCACATGGGTGACATTAGCAAAAGTGTACACGTGACCACAATACTCTCTGGACTCTGAACCTCCACAGCTTGCCTGGGTCCCCTTCCCTTCAGCACTCCATTTTGCATTGATAAATGTAAAGGCATATTTTACTAATCAAGGAGATTGCTACACTGTTGAACAGAGAGGAAGCCGTTCAGCAGGGAGTCACCATCGAAGTCAGAGCAAAGGCAGCCTCCCTCCCCAGCCTTGCCAAGGCATGTGTGTCCATCATGGCTTCCAGCACATGGATGCGTCTTCTCAGAGTTCTCAGATCCCCCTGATAGATGAAACAACTCAACCTGAGTCTTTACTGTGTTGAGTCTTCCTCAAGAATACTGTTTTCAATTTCTAAAAACTCTATAAATATAAATAGAAAGAATGGTTGGCAAATGAGCACTACTAAAAACAATTTCTCAGAATAAATTATTTGAAAACATTTTGTTACAAAATAGGTGGTATGAAGATTAAATGATACGGCAGAGCCCGTTAAAAACTAAATGGTGACAAATATGTAAGCATTTAAAATGAAGTTAACTTAATATATTAAAAGCAAAAAGGAATAACAAGGAATAAAACCTTGTAGGAGGAACAATGTATTTAAAAGTCACAGCCTGTTGACATGTAAGATCAGTCACAATGGATTTAGGTGTGACTGCATATACTCTCCATAGGCTTAATTTAGAATGAAGACAGAAAATGCTAAGACAACTGTCAAAGCTTCCCTCTCTATATGTTCTACTGAGTGTAAAATAAGACTGTTCATCCAAAAACCTAAAGACGAGATATTCAAACCAGTATTACGTAAAGCCCTGGAAGCACGTGCGCGCGCACACACACACACACACACACACACACACACACACACACACACACACACACAAACACAGAGGGGGGAGTTGCAAGAAATAATGCCCTGACAACATTAGAACTTTAATATTTTCTATTTGCTTCATTCTTGTGAGCGATGATTGCTACTCATTGAATTAACTGTAAAAACCTTTAATAAGGGACAAAGGCCAGCAGACGTAAATACAGGCTATGTGCTGCCTCTATTGCTGCCCCGTTTTTTTTTTTTTAAGGGCAACCCTGTCACCACAGCAAGGAGCTAAGTAATGGTCCTGAGCTCCCTTAATAAGTGACAGATACAACTTATCTCAGTGAACTGGAAACAGAAAGTGAGAACACTACTTCTAGGCCTGGATCCTGTGAACAAATGAACTCAATGTTTAAATTTTATCCAGGGAAAATCTAGCAGATCCCCTACACAGGTTCCTGATTTGTTACTGATGCCTTAGAGGGTGTACCGTCTAAGAAGACACTGTCATTCTCCCAATCTTCCACCACAGCATGTGACACTGCTTCCCTGAGTATGTGTTTGTAAAATGTTAAAGAGCAATAAATCCTATTAAAGTAGCAAATGAACTGAACAGCACTTCTTAAAAAGTATGAATGCCCAGTAACATAGCAGAAAGATATCATTAGTCATAAGTGAAATGCAAATTAAGACTGTTTTTGTATTCTACTGTAGTCAAAATGACCAGTATGAAAAATAAAATAAATTTAAAGAGACAAACTTAAACCACAAACAAACAAAAACCCTAAATACTGGTAAGCCTAAGGGAACAAAGGTAACACTTATGCACTATTTGTGGGAATGGAAATTAGTCCAGATATTATGGAATCATTATGTCATTCCTCAAAAAAAAACCACTAAAATTAGACCTACTATATGACCCAACTATACCACTCTTGGGCATATGCAGAAAAAATTGTCAGCCTTCAGAAAAAAAAACATTTTAATTCAATGAAGTGGGGTTTGTATCTTGAAAACTTCAAGGCTCAAAAAAAAAAATAAGAAAATAAGAAATAAGAGTGTGTGGAAGGTCTATTACCCTTACCAGCTAAGGAAAACATGGTAGCCCTTTCCAAAGCAATAGTTTCCCTAAATGAAGGACCATACTGTTCTGTATTCACACAGAAAAGCACTTTGAGGGCAGACTGGTGGCCGAGCATGCTCAGTGCATCATGAGCATTGTTGAGCAATCTTGGTTTTGGGTCATACAGCTCAAGAAAGACAGGTAGTGTGTAGAGTTTCTGGGAACACTTAGCTTATTTCCCCAAAAGTTTTGGCCAAGGACAAAGGAAAAGGTAATTAGAAGTTATGTTAGTGTAGACACTTGTCCCTAAGGCTTCCTGCCTCACTCAACTTCTAACAGTCCCTGCACAGACATGTTTATTATGACCCTGTTTGCAGCAGTTGAGCTATGGAATCGACCTAGCTGCACACCAACACATGAATGGATATAGAAAACAGATTAGTGCATATACATATCCATGTATTTATGTGAGAAGTACTCAGCCATTAAGAACAACGAAATTACATCATTCCAGGAAAATGGGTAGAGCTAGGAGGTTTCATGTCAAGTAAAACATCACAAATGAAGAAAGACAGGACATGTGTTTTCTCTCATGTACGGAAACAAAACTTCCCAAAAGAAAAGAGAAAGGCACTGGTAGCATAAGGGAGCTGTTAGGGGACGGGTAGGGAACTGGGGGAAGATGGGAGACGCAGAAGGTTACGAGCAGGTCAAAGAAAGGGCGGTGTGATCAGAGCATTGGTAAAGCAGGCATGGAGAAGTCAGAATAACTTTCGTTGATTTGCATGAGCAGTGTATGCTAATAATTTAGCAGGCCAAGAGAGATGCTTTGAACACCCACTCCTTAGACCTCAAGACTGGAGTTAAACCAAGGAGCTTGATGATATGAGTCCGGGGGGGGGGGATGCTATTTTGTAGTTGGGAAAGGAAAACAGAAGCAAAACAAGAGGATAGTGGATCCTCACACAAGAGGATAGTGGATAGCATATAAAGTATGCATCTAATTTAGCCAACAGCTGAGTTTGGTTTTTCAGTCTTTATAAAGCCGTGATTTTGATGGCTTGCTGGAATTGTGTGCTAGGTTTATGTTTAGGACATCCCAGCTTTTGAGCTCCTAGTTTTGATATTGATGTAATGTTTAAAATGGCAAAGGCTTGAGAATCAGTTCAGGCCTTCCCAACGTTGAAACCCTGAAGAACGTTAATCCCTAGGTTCTCCTTGAGAGGTGCTGAAGATGCATGCCCTGGTAGACTGCTCTGGAAATGAAGTGTGTGGAATCTGCAAGTTCTCCTGGGCATACATCTTGCACCCCGTGTTGGTTGGCAAAGATACCATTGCTGTTCTCCACTGAAACAACGCATCACATCATAATAGATCCTTTCCTCTGTAAGGACCATTTATGATGGCACTAATCTCTATTATCTCTAACCCTTAATGCTTTTGTCTTTTTCCCCTTAAAGACACCAAGATCTTGATAAGTTCATCAAAGTAAATCCTGATGTTCTTGTGAACAATCAGAGGTAATAAAACTTATTTTTAAGTGAGTTTTGGTCATGAAGAATATTCTATTTTATTATTCCAAGTAGAGTTATTACATTGTCCTTACTAAAATACCTTTATTATTAACCTATTTTCTTTTTATCATTCTGTTGAAAGAAACCATGACCTGGATGGCATCATCAGAGGGAAGCCTACAGAGACCAGAAACAATCAAAGGTAATAAAACAAAAACTGCTAATTTATGTTTTCAGCTGTTTTCCTTGCATGAAATGGATTTTTACTATGGCCATTTTGATCTAGTATAACCAAATTGCCATTACTGATCCACTCCGTTTCACTATTTTAAACAGCCAAGACTTGGAGAATCTTATTAAAGTGAAGCCTTCTGCTCTCAAAAACACAAATAGGTAGGTGACCTTACCTGACTGGTTATGATGTAGTCCCAAGATTCTGCAGTAGGCATTTTCTTTGTGTGTGTGTGTGTGTGTGTGTGTGTGTGTGTGTGTGTGTGTTAAGAAGGCGTCTACTTTTCTTTAGTTTTCAAAGGCTCCATTTATAACCTGTGTGTCTCTTGTCAACAAGGAGACATATTGCACTCTTCTTGAATCAATTGCTTGGTTTTTGGTGAATTCTGGGCTTCTTATTGGTACCAAGACAACCCAATGTTTGTTCCCTAAAGGAAAGGGAACTTTGAAATGAAAAATGAATAAAGCTAAACAAGAAGACAAATTATTGTGAGAAAGTTAAACCAACTTGGAAAGGCTATTTAAGTCTTCAGAATCGCAGCTTCTCAGCTTATGTGGGCTCACAAAGTATTAAAGCACATTTTAACTCAGACTTACACCTTGAGTTTGAAGCTCTTCTCCAATTCTTTATTTTTAAATTAGAGTTACGTCCTTTTCCTCTTCTCTTTCTTTGTCTGTTCTCTCCACTCTTCCTACAACCTCTCTCATGCTTCCTAACTCAAATTAATAGTCTCCTTTTCTTTATTATTATGTACACTTGTGTACATGTATGTACAAACATATAACTACAACCTACAAGGGTGTACACTTAGAGAAACCTTGTCTCAAAAAAAAAACAAAAAAAGTGTACGTTTGTTGTTTGTGTGTGTATAGTTTCAGAGATGACTACTTTGGATAAACAATAAGGTAGTTCATTTCTGGGAGAGGCTAATTCTCCGTCTTCCATCAGTCACTGGTTTTCTTTACTTTTGGCCTAAGGGTGTGATCCTGTGAAATTCCTCCCTTTCACATTAGTAAATCTGTTAATATCATCAGTGTTCTAGCCTTGTTCAAGCAGTCATTTTTGAGAGAGACTATTTCACGGCAGACTTCCTGATACTCTGGCTCTTAAAATCTTTCTGTAGTCTCTTCCATGATGTTCCATGAGCCATAGATACAGGATATAGAAAAGATGTATCCATTATCACTGGGATCCCCACAATCTGTTGATCTCTGCATTATATCTAGTTGTGATTTTCTGTGGTGGTCTCCATTTGCTATAAAGAGAAGATTCTTTGTTGAGAGGGAGGTAGCTACACTTTATCTATGGATATAAGGATAGGATCTAGAATGTAGTAAGAAATTATGCAGGTCTAGCAAAATGATGGTAGTAGATTATTTTCTAAAGTCCACGATCACATTTGCCCCAGGAAGGTATCTATGTTCCTAGCACCAGGAATGATCTCCCTCCTGTTGAGTGGGCTTTAAGTCCAATTATTTGGGTGGATTTTTTTTGTCATCAGAGGCAGTTTTGGAAGATTGCCAGTTATGTTGGTAACAGGTCTAATAGCCACATTATGCAATAACTAATAGGGGAACTTTGTAGTAGCACACATTTAAAAAATCAGTAAATTAAAGTTTAAATGTTCCACTTACTTGAAATTTTATCACAATAATTACATAACTGGGAACCAGGACCCGATATTTGGAGATGATGGCAACAAATTATTTACAAAAAGTACTATGAACCCACGAGGAGAGAAAGGACAATGTAGTCTTACCTTGTTTCCTATATAAATACCTTATTTTGCTCTTGTATGTTTTTATCACTGGGCTGTTGGGGTCTTAAAATTAATTATGGCATCCTGAAGGTAATTAAAGAGCAATGGTTACTCAGAGAGTACTTACTGAACACCTAGGCAGTCAGCCTAAAAATTATCACTACTACACCCCATGCAGTATAAATTCCTATGCCTAATATTGTAGAAGACACTATAGCTCAAAGATACCAAATTGCACTTCAAAGAAAGAAAATATACAGTAGATATGAACTCAGATTCTTTTGACATTAAGACCTTAGAAAACCAACAAAGATAGGTAGTTAAGTGATCCTAGGCTCTCTAATAAGATCTATTTACTTCAGAGAATTAAAATTAAATAGAATAATTTCTTCATAGTAGTAATTATTGGGGTGGATTTTTCTTGTCATCAGTAGCTGTTTTGGGAAATTACCAGTCGTGTTGGTAACAGGTCTAGTTAGTAGCCTTTATATGCAATAACAAATAAGGGAACATTTCCTTGAACTCCTGCCTCTTGACTACCTCCATCGAATGTGTTATATTGACAATGACAGTTCTTGTGAGAATCTTGCCTCTGGTTTTACTGCAAGATGCAAACTTTATTAAAGGTAGCTTGTATTCTAGCAACTCTTTTTTTCAAGAAATCCACACAAAGAGGACATTTTTTCTTAGGCAAATATATTACTACTAAAAGAATTTTAAAAATTCTAGGCATCATGGAATTCTATGATGTTTTTGGTCAGCTAAGCTAGCCTGTTTGACTACTCCTTAGAAGTGTACCAGATCAGATGATAAATAGCCAAGAATTATACAGCCGACAAATAGAAAAGACTGAGCTGTTTTAGAAGAGTGCATTTATGGATGGATTCAGCCACCTGTATCTACCATGTAACTATGCTGTCCTCATGATTTCAGCATAGGTAAAGAAAGGGACCTTTAGAGCTCATGTAGGTGGAAGGAAGCCCCACAAATCCCTCCTTCATCTGTGCAATGCAACACAGGCACTGATCATTTAGCTGCAAAGCAGCAGCGGATATGATCTTTTGTGGGTCTTTGCTGATATTTCCAGCAGCTGCACATTTAATTCACAGTTAGAGACTAAATAAGCCTCCTCGTCCCTCAGAAATACATACAAGCATCCTTGAGATCCCAGGAACGCAGCAACCGGAACAAATGCAGATGTGCACAGAATTCCCATTTATTCCATGAGAAATAGCATGGCTTTTAGTAGTAATGTGAGCCGGCACTAGAAAGAGATCCCATTATCTGTAGTCTGTAAGCTGATGTTAGATAAATTATTAATGTTCTAAATTTCTGCTTTTAAATAGGTACTAAAGAATCCTGGAAATTGTTACAGGTATTAAAGATTTTTCTAGTAAAAAGGGCATCATTCACATAAAGCAAAAAATACTTATATTTGTAGTTATAGTTCCACTTGTCAATATTTTTCCTGTTTGTTAACATACACCTTCCAAGATTTTAGTTCTGTAACATGAGGACAGTTTCTTCCTATTCCCCTGCCGCATGTCTCTCTCTGCCCAAGACATAGACATGGGGTAAGTTACTCTATGGCTTCGCTCCCTGTAGCCAAGCAGTCTGCCAGTCATCACTGGGGGTTCTTCTCCTAACAATCTCTGGAAGTGCTTCTGCATTTTCTGCAGTACTGCTGCAGCGGTGCTAGCTTTCCAGCCCTCTAACCACTTTGCTGCTACTCAGGACTTCTAGCTTTCAATCTGTCCACAGGGATGAGCAGTCATCTCCCTAAAACAGGAATCTGATTAGGCCGTTCTTCCCGTTCTAATCCTCCAGTGTCTTCCTATTACCAGAGACACAGCCTTACTCCTTAATCTTGTCTCCGAGCACCATATTCTGTATTTTGTCTGATGCCAAGTCCCGTTACTCTTCTCTTACAAGCAAATCCCTTCCCCATCCCCATCTGTCTGGCTTGTACTCTTTGTTCCCCTCTCATTGCCTTGCCAGAGGAGCTACTGTGTATCCTCTGGGTACCAGTCTGGGTGTCTCACTCAGACTCAGGGAAGACCCTTTCAACCTCTATTTTTACAACTCTCCACGTATGCATTTCTTGAGTGAATTTTTATTTAATAATCTTTCTGTCTACAAGGTCTTTAGAAATATGGATGGAATTAACTTGTTTCTTTTTCTTTATATAGTGCAGTAGCATAATGACACACAATGCCTGATACATATTAAATGCTTAACAAATGTAATGTGAATTAAAGACTAAATACCAGAATAATCAATGTTTTATGATAGTCTACTTAGGTAAAATATACTGTATTATGTTTCCAACATTCTAAGCTCCCATCATTGAAACTAAATAAAAGAAATCTATTTTTTATGAATTTCTTTACAAAAGTCAATAACTGTTTCCTGCTTATAACAATCTCACGGAACCACAGTGACTCAGGAAAAAAATTTATTAGTTATGTGTTATGTTTGAAATATTTAAATCATATACAAATTTATTAATTTCTTGAATACAAAATCTTTAAGGATATAAAATTTTCATTGAAGAGGTTAAAATATGTGGATATCATTACATTTTGCTATGCCAGCGAGTTAAGAAATGATGTGAGTTATTCATAAAATGCAATATTCTTTTTAAGGAGATTCATTTTGAGCTAAAAATCTAATGCTTAACATCAACTCCTGACATAAAAGAAAAAAAAGTTAATTTTTGTGTGAAAACTGTTTAAGTTTGCAAATGTGTTGGACACTTTACAGAAGCAGATTAAGTTAGCAATGTAGAGAGAAACATATTGTACCCTATTAATAACCCCTCCTACATGCACACACGAGGGGAATAGTGGTTAGATCTGAGCTAATAACTTTCTTACATCGGAAAAGCTAACGAGTAAGAATCTTCACATTTCCCTTTGATCCGCTCTGTAAGGGAGTGCCACACCCCTTCACACAACTATGGAGAATGCCACACATTATTACAATGTGGAGAATTCTCATACTGAAAAGTGTGTGTGTGGCTTTATCCTTAGATAACTCACAGTCTGCACCAAATGTATTGAAATCTACATTTTTAAAAGAATTATTAGACCTATGGATGTAGCTTAGCAGAAGTCATGTCTAGAATGCACAAGGCCCTGGGCTTGATTCCTATCACCAAAATGGAAATGAAAGACTTTGAATCAAGTATTTGCTCAACCTCGCACCACTTGGCTTAGCCTTCTATAAAAAAAACCATCTATTTTCTACACTTTGACTCACAGTTTTTCATCTTTTGCCACAGTGTAAAACACACCATGCAATACATGTGATCTTAATTAAAGAGTGTTTATTTTTGCATCCATTAACTTGGAGGGTCTAAACTTCTTTTACTGGATCTACCCATCTAGCTAATGCTATCCATCAGTGTGTATACCCTAAGCAAATGCATATTGTGTGATGTTTATCATTTAGATTGTTTTAAATATTGGTGTAGATTATTCAATTAAAAACCTTATAACATACACAGCCAAACTTGTTGTGTGCTGTTATCTAATAAAATGAGTAAGTCCTATGAAATCTCTAATGATATGGTTTCTTTGATGACCCACCCTTCTTTAGGAGTATCTTCTTTGAATGCATGCATAGGCTCAGCTTTTGAGTGGTTCTTGAATCTGCAAGACTCTGACTTCCCTTGCTTCCTCAAGTGGAGCCATTCTTTTTCCTTTTCTCCAAAGCTGCAGCCCAAAGAGCAAGCATGGAGTGTGTAGGCAGAGAATAAATATTCAGTAATGGTAGCAGTCACAAGCTCACTGTTCTTGGAATTGAAGATGTCCACCCTCAGGCGGAGCAGTTCAATACAAACATTTTAGGGATACTCTAACAAAACCCATACACTAAATTGCCTAAACACATGAGGAAAGTTTTCTCACACTTCTGGAGGTGAAAAATCTGAGATGGAGTCATCATGGTAAGGTTGGTTTCCTCTTGGGCTCAGAGGGAGAAATCTCTTTCAGACATTTCTCCTGAATGTGTATCTCCTGAATTTGAATCTTGTATTTATGTAACACATACATACTTTGCTCAAGTAGGTATTAGACCTTACTCTCATGCTGTAAAAGGCCACAGCTACCTTAAGTGCTGCACGTGGTACCTCAATGTTATCACAGGGGGAGAGAATGACTCCCTGGTACAGAACTCTGACTTCCCAATGCTTATATATCCTGTGATCTTTCATCATCTACCGCTGCCAGCCTGAATGAATTCTGTGATAGTTAGTCCACGTCTCAAGCTTTCAACCAGGAAACACCCATTTTCTGGTGAAGGTTGTTAGGATAATATGGTAGATTCTAATACCACAATGACGGTTTGTGTGACCATTAGTAAAAACCATCACTTATGCAAATTCAAAGTCTTCCACCTATATTATAAATATGCAGGACTGACAATACACAGCTTTCTTCGATAATATGGGGGAATTCAGTTTTGAATTTTTTTCATTTCAATTTCTTTAGTTTTTTATTTTAATTTTTAAATTTAAATTTAAATTAGAAACAAGGTGGCTTCACATGTCAATTCCAGGTCCCTCTCCCTTTCCCTCCCCTCCTCCCACGCCATCCCACCAACCTCTCCAATATCCCCTCATTTCCCCAGGGAGGGTGAGGCTCTCCATGGGGGTGTCCATAGTCTGTCATTTCATATAGGGCAGGGCCTAGACCCTTCCCTGGGAGTCCAGGGTGAGAGTGCATCTCTCATTATTGGATGGGAGCCTAAAATCCATTTGTATACCTGGGATAAATGCTAATCTACTACCCAAGGCCCAATAGATTACCTAGGCCTCCTCACTGACACCCACAATCGAGGGGTCTTGATCAGTCCCATACTGGATTCCCAGCCATCAGTCTGCGATTCAAGAGCTAACCCTTGTCAGGTCAGCTGTTTCTGGGAGTTAAACCAGCCCAGTCTTAATCCCTTTGTTCATCAGTCCTCCCTCTCTGTCACTGGATTCCTTGAGTTCAGCTCAGTGTTTAGCTATGGGACTCTGCCTCTGCTTCCATCAGCCATTGAATGAAGGTTCTGTTTCCCAGAACTCTCTGGTCATGAGATTGTAGGCTGGCACTCCCAGTTTTGAATTTTATGTCATCATTCAATTACAACATCAATGAATAGTTCTGAAATACTGTACATTCTACAGATTCACTGGAATATTGAAACTCCCATTAAAGATATTTAAACTAATTTCTATAGTTTTTTTAAAGCACACAAATAATTTTTTAAGTATGAAGTTTAAGATGCTAAAGTATGCTGGCTAATTTGCATAGTTTATCATTATTGATAGTTTGGATGTTAGTAAATCTCCACATAAACATGAGGATACTTTATTGTGTTTTGTATCATAACAATATTAATTTTGTGAGTGAGAATCTACATGCTGATTCTTTGTTCAGTAACTTTATGTGAGTACATTTTAGAGTGTGAGAAAGGAGAATTTTAGGAACTGGAGTTAATTCCAAAGATGTGAAGATTTAGGATGAAATGAAAATTGGAAAGTCCCTCAAGACTGTGGGATCAATAACTCACTTTGACATTACCGCATTCCATCAACTGTTTACCACTGACTTACTGCTACATTACCATATCCTATTAACTATCGCTCCTCTTTCACTTGCTTTACTCTCAGCTTAATCATTGTGTCATGACTTGTGTTTTCCTCACCAAAACCTTGTTGAACTGGACATTAGGAGCCTCCTTTGAGAGATGAAGACTAAGGAATTACGTACTGAAGAAAGTAGGGGAGGAAACGAGCCTCACTCTTCAGTAGGCTTCATGACAAAGGCTTTTCCAAAATGGTGAAAACAGCAAATGGGATCTTTGGACATTATGTTACTATGCAAATGACTAATGTATGATAACCTGCCAGAGGACCCTGTCAATCACAGAGGTGTAAAATCACTTGGGCAGCCTAAGATCTAAGAATCTCATCTCCACATTTGTCCTCTATCTTCTCAATTTCTTATTCAATCATCAGTCTGAGGTTTCGTATTTCTGTGATCCAATGGCGTGAATGAAGTCTCCAGCTAGAAACCTCCAAGTGTGTTTTTGTGTGTGTGTGTGTGTGTGTGTGTGTGTGTTTGTTTTGTAGGTGGGTAGTGTGCGTTAAGTTCTCCATTCTCCCATCAGTTAGTTCTTGGGATTTAGCAGATTCCCTCAGTGTTTCCAGGCTCCAGATGCCAATCCTGTGAGATCTGAATGAGACAATCCATGTGAGCGTGTGATTAATGCTGCAGGACACAAACCTAGGGCTCATTCCGTCTGAGCCAAACTCTTTCCAGATTGGATTTCCCAAGATTTCCAAGAGTGATATCTCTCTCACTTATAAAATCCACACCTATTTGATGGTGCTAGAGTCAAACCCAGAACCTTCTACGTACTAGGCAAGTCTGATATTCAGCCTTCAGAGATAGTCCAGCCTTATTTGCAAATTTACCTACAAGCCAGTAGACTAAATAGCTCAACATCCAATTTGCAGTCTCCTGGATACTTATAAACCAAAAATGTCTATGTCTAAGGAGATGTACTGTTTTTTATTATAATTTTTGTATTTTATACAATTGTGTTACAACTAGACCACACATACACACTATGTTTTTTGTTTTTTATGTATTTTTATTTTCTTTAGAGACCGGAGCCTAGAAAATTTAACTGAAGCAGATTCTCACGTATCTGAAAATAAAAATGGAAGGTAAGATTGGTTTCAATTGGCTTTATTTCTTAGGAATTCCTTTTGTACCAAGTGATTGTTTAGAAAAAATTTCTGGAAGAGTTGACTTGCATTACAGCATTTAAATATAAGTACTATCCAAATCAGAAAAGTTACGGCACCATATGCTTAATATCTAACACAGAAAAAATTAACAGTGTTCTAATTGTGTTAGAATCTCTCGTTCCTGTTGTTCCATCCTGTTATTTAGTATAAAAGGTGTCATGAAAATTCAAAGCCCTTTTCTTGGGCTGTGAGCATTTATTTTTACTCGCTGTTGCTTGCTAGATTTTCAGCAGGAAAGGAAGTACCCCATGGCTCTCTTTCTTGGATATCTCATATTTAAAAGCACACACAAATTTCTCATAAAGACAAAACAAAATTTGATTTTAAGGTTTTCTTTTGCTGCGGAGTATAAGGGGTTTCAAGCGATCAATGCCCTTTAATGTCTTGTTTGGCATTAAGATGAAGTTGAAGATGGAAGCTATACTTCATTGTTACACACAACTTAAGTTAGGGAGGAACTGATAACTTCCTGTATAAATGCTTCTACACGTTTGAAAGCCTAAACATATTCATTTCTTTTTTTACCTTCCCAAGGTGCCTGTGTTTTTTCTTTTTTGTAAAAGCTCCTGTGGTTTTATTAGAACTAATATTGTTGATATTTTCTGCAAAGTGTGGAATGGCTATGGAAAAGAGGAGCTGTCTGTCTTTCCCCATACTGTCTGCAACATGCCTTTGCATCTCAAAGAGTTCTCGTTGCCCTGGTTCTCCAGATAGTGTGTGCCTTTTTGTTATGACCCCAACAGAGTCTCTGACTGCATGAGAGAAAAGAAATGTTCAGTTCATCTGCAGCTCATAAAATGTATCCACTTTTGGCAACTGCATGGGACCCAACACATAACCAGCCTCATGCAAATATTGTTTAGAAGTGATCAAGGCTATAAACAGTCCGAGTGGTTAAATGCAGCTAAGGAAATTTCCTTTTAATTTGACTTAAAAGCAGCTCCATTTTCTGTTCATGAAACAAGGTTTTATAGGAAGCATTGGTGAGGAAACAATGTGTTGGAGATTGGGGCGTTGGTGTATGAATTTGAGGGAATGTTATTCAGTTGAGAGCAGTAGTGTTTACAGATTCTTGACCACTTCTGTTTGTGCATTTTATAAACTGGTGATGTTTTAAGTTTGAACCACTAGAAACAATGCAAATTCATTTCAATGTCACCCATAGTCTTCTTCTTTGAAGCTATGCATTTCTTAAATTTTATAGTATGTATCATGTGATTTGAATATAATTAATATTTATTTAGTGGGGCTGGAATTTGAAACCAGGGTCTTATGTATTCTAGGAAATCACTAAATTTGAATATTCTTCAACAATTAAGAACCAAGTTTATTATTCTTGGAATGACATAGCCCAATAATCACGAGAGAAACCCTTCTTTGACAGTATTGATCCCACATGTTTTACTATTTGCTATAACTTGAAAATTTACTCACAAAACATCTCCTTTAAAGCAAGAATATTTTTAGAGATAATAAATCCAAATTAATTTATTACAGATGAATACACAATAAATTAATTACAGGCACAGTTCCCCACCAACATTTATTGACACAGAAATGTGTATACATATTTAAAATCACATGAATTTAATAGCTTTAAATTCATGATGTTAGGGCCTGATGCATTTAAAATCAGCACCCTACACACCTTTGTAAAGTTTCTTAATAAAGCAGAGAGAAAAGTTATCCTAACTTCAGTTCATAGTTTCATACTTGGAAATTTTAGTGTATTTTTAGCCAAGACTATTTTTTTATAGTTTAAAAACTAAGATAGCTCCAGGTACCTTCTAACATTTTCATTTATTTTATTAATTTTATTTTTTTATAGCAGAGATGGTGAAGTAACACATTTTCTTTCTTAAAAGTTATACAGGACAAGATTGGAGGGAAGGCTCAGTAGTTTATAGCATGTACTGCTTTTACAGAGGACCAGAGTTCAATTCCCAGCACCCATGCTGGATAGCTCGCAAATGCCTATTATTCCAGCTCAAGAAGGATTGCTTTCTTCGGTGTCTGTGGGTACCAGCAAGGAAGTGCACAAACCCATCCACAGACAGCCTGTTTGATAATAACGCTTAATGGAAATCTGAACTCTGTGTAGGTTTTCATGTCTTTACTCTCAAAATTTACTAACACAGAAGAGGAAAAATTGCTACAATTTCCACTATTTTTTTTATTGAGAATTTCCTCTGTTGCATGGGAGAAATTGAATATGTTTATGCTCTGTTAAACATGATGACATTTTTAGATCAGCAGAAATCTAGGTCAGACTTCTGTAGTCTTCAAAGTATTACCTTTCGGTAAAGACAGATGGGAACTAAAGTGTCTCACAGCAACCCCTGGATCCTTTATTAAGCTGATGAATTCTTAGATATGTGGTACAAAGGAGGCTTTCTAAAGGGCTCTGCTGTTATGAAAGTGATGGAGGAACCAATTTTCAGTTGACTTCAGCCTTGATGAAAACACATTCTGTCACAGCATTAGACAGCGTGGCCCATGTTTGTGAATTGTTCTTGAAGTAAGACAGTGATTTCTGTGGAGCCAGAGGACCCAGTAAAGCAGTCTGTGCTTTTGTGTGCATCCCCGCGCAGAAACCCAGTCGATGTAAAGAAATACCATCTATGTAGCAAAATCTTAACAAAGCAAAATGTTTGGGTGTGACCTTGATTTTGAAGGCCAGATGCATGTTTCTTCTTGCAGGCTAGATGGTCAAGTTAATGGATTCACCAACACTCAACTCAAGGAGTCCACGAGAACCTCTGTCTACTCTTATGAAGCCAGAAACAGCATCAGGTGCCAAAGACTGTTACAAAACCAATGACAGGACTATCCCTGTGTTTATTTGTTTATATGCAAGCTAGCCATTTGTTTTAAAGGATGGAACTTTCTATATGCAAATACTCTTACATGAAATTGTTGAGTCAGCAACTCAATTATTGCTGGGATGCACATAGAAGAATATAAAATGTGATTGTTGCCTTAATGTCTAAAGTTATATAAAACATGATTATGCTGATATTCTTCTTTTAAAGATTTAGTGATTTCATTATATATATATATATATATATATATATATATATATATACCCAAGCCTATGTATTTGTACCACACATGTGCTGGTACCCACAGAGTCCAGAAAGTATCAGATCTTTGGAACTGGAAATATAGGTGACTGGGAACCACCAAGTGTGGGTGCTGGGACCTAAACCTGGGTTTCCTGCAACAACAGGTGCTCTTACCTACTGAGCCATCTCTACAACCCAGGTATTCATATTCTTGAATGAGCTCTTTCCGACTGTATCATTGAATCTGAGGTTTGAATAGTCAATTAAAGTTAACTATTAATTTAAGGTTTATTGGAGAAATCTATGGTTTAGAAATGAGCTGGATATCAGGGAAACATACTAAAATATAGTACATTGACAATTAAAATGATCTGCACGCTCTAAGACAAATTTACTAAATTATTAGTTTTCACATTAATAATGATCAAAGTAGACCGAGACAGTGGTGTTAAGAGTTAAATGGGAGAGATGGCAAAATTCTTCAGGAGTTGATTAATAACACTTGAACATTTTCATGTGAACAGTTGGTTTAGAAGTAATATATATTATTTATATATTATATATATTTAGAAGGAATATATATTACCTTAAAAGGTACACACACACACACACACACACACACACACATATATATATATATATATATATATATATATTACCTTTTGCATTGAATTGGAAAATGATTTTGTTTCTATCATCCCTGCAAGTGACATTTTAACATGAAACTAAATGGTTTTATTGTAGCTCCAATACTGGAACCAGGAGTGCTGGGCCTAAGGATACGGTTGTCTATACAAGGACATATGTGGAGAGTAGGTAATGGAAAAGCGCTTTAGATATTTCATTTCTTTTTATAGCTGTGAATGATCTATACATGCCGTGTAAGAGGTGCTACCATTTCAGGATGTGCCTCCTTCATAGGGAAGACAGTTTAATATATTGCAAATTCTACGCATACAATGTTTATGTTGTTCCCAATATGCTGATAAATGGCTTATAGTCACTGTATATACTCAAAAGAATTTCAAATAACTAACGAATAAGTATAGGATTCATAATCATTTATTATTACATAAATGTGCATGACTATTTGGTTATAACAACCTTTTTTAATTTGAATCACCTTAATTCAAAGAGTCTACTACTTACTCCCAATTTAACACAGAAGATATATCTTTAGGTCGATATATCATGATCTAAATTGTAGATTATTGATGTCCTATGAAACTGTCTGCTTGGAATGAAGGATGCCAACAAAAGTGTAACAGAGGACATGATTCACAATGCATTTAGTTTTCAAGAAGTATAAAAAATGAGAATTGGCCTAATTATAGGTTAATATATTGGAAAGTACACAAATGCAGACATGTGTGACATGTGTGAATCCCAAGACAGCAGCTCAGGGAATCTTCTGTGTGCATGGGAATTCCCAGGGACAACTCAAGACCTCTTTGGGTCAAACCTGTGTGTAATTTACACATTCAGCTTCCAAAGTAATTTTTTCCTAATTCAAATTTTGCTCCATTGTGGCTCCATGACAGTAATTCCTACTAGCTTTTAATTAAACTAAAATATAAAACATTTGAAAGAAAATAATAAGTAGTTACTGAATTGGAAAGAAATAGGCACATATAAAAATAGCATGAGGATGATATAAAGACAACACCCAAAATATTGGCAAGTAGGATAGAAGGAATAGGCGTTGGTTCTATACTTACATGACACTCTGTTTTTATACATTGGTAACCCTATGGGATAGCACATCTACACATTTTGATTTCTAAAGAAGTGTCTCATTGAAACTAAGTCTAATAACTGTGGTATCAATTTTTAAGAAACAGTAAACCTCTAGGATTAGGCATAGTCTACTAAATGCTATTTTCCACATTTTTTACTTATTGAATAGTTCATTAAAAATATTAACTTTATTTATACAAGTACAGAAACGAAACCACATTTGAATTATTTAGCACCATTGGCTATGGTTTGCTTTTGTAAGCTACTGTGCTTATGTTACTGGAATATCTGTGTGTATGTCATTCGAATATCTGTGTGTATCTGTAGAAACAGCAATTCTAAAGTGTGATTTCTGTGCTGGATTCAACAGTATCACTTCAGACTTGTTACAAGTGAAAATTGCTTGGTCCCATCCCAGACCTGAAGAATCATAAACTCTGCCATTGGGGTCCCAGCCATTTGTGTTTTACAAATTCAATGTGCTTTTGATGCAAATGCAGATTTGAAAACTGTAACTATAAAAGATAATATTGTATCATGTCAGACCAATATTGTGTAGGTTAGAATATTCTGAAAGGATGTATTTGCTACTGTTTGTTTCTTACCCTAAGGTGACAGTGATGGCCCTCAAATATCTTTCACTTTCTTAAAGTCTACACTTAAAGTGTAGAGTTAGGTTCAGGATTGAGTTATTGTATGTCATTTACAAACCTAATAGCCTTGGCAAAGGTGCTCGTGTGTGTGTGTGTGTGTATGTGTGTGTGTGTGTGTATGTGTGTGTGTGTGTCTTGGTATTTTAATTTATATTAAACTATTTAACTTACTTAAATTATTCAATTGGTTAATTTCCATAGTGCTGAGAATCAAATTTAGGGTTTTACACATACCAAGAATTTTTAACCACAAAACTGTCTCTCTAGCACCCCTATTTAACTTTTTTTGAGACAGGATCTCGCCAGTTTGCCCAGGCTGGCCTTGAGTGCATTCACTAGTCTAGGCAGGTCTTGAACTCGTGATCTGCCTGCTTCATCTTCCAAACCAGGTGGTGTTACAGGCCTTGGCCTCTAGGCTAAGTGAAATGCAAATACAAGTTATGTGGAAAAACAATGATGTCCTTATTGCTTACACTTAGATTTAGACTGTCTCAGCCTGTTGCGGTGTTTGTTTGTTTGTTTGGTGATGTGTTGACTTGCTGGGACATTTGCATCTTTTCTTCTACAGGTTAAGAAATGAAAGGCATAAGAACATCATCTGTGTATGCAATATTACAAATGACATAATAATAATGTGTGAAGGGATGCATGTTTTCCTACCTGTGTGGGGGCAGTACTAGGGAAAATGTCCTGGTTCTCACATGTCCTTACATGTTTGTTTTTAGTAAATCACCAAAGGATGGATATCAGGAAAACATCTCAGGAAAATATATACAAACTGTTTATTCAACTTCAGATAGGTAAGCATACTTTTATTTCCATTACAGACATAAAGTGTATATATGCACACATACACACATAAACCTACATACACTTTCACGTACAAATACATACATATATGTATATACATATATTTCTCTTTGTTATAGAGATGTTTTCATTGGTAGACAGGTAGAAAATCGTTAGGAATATATATGAAAAGACTGCAGTACAGCTCTGCCTTTAGGAACTTGCTTCATAGCTGTTGTGTTGCTTTCATGGACATTATTCTAGAAGACCTTTCCATGCCAGACCTTTCTTTGCTGGTGATTCCCAAGAGTCCCCTGCCTGCAACAGCATAAGCACCTAGGCTTGAATGTTTCACTAGACTGTTCTCAACCCTTCCCTCTTGTGCTTTTCCAAAGTCAACTGCATGGATCACCTGGTCCAACACAGGGACTCAGCTCAGCTCCTAGTAGGGTTAGGATGAGTACACATTTAATGCTGGATGGAAAACTGGCCCCATTCCAGGCTTTTTCTTCTGGTGACCCTCCTTACTGGCTTGTAGATCTCCATGGTTGCAAGTGAAAATCAGTAGCATTTCACCTCAATTTCTAGGTATAGGCTATGACATGAGAACCCACTTTCCCGCTGTTATGGTGTCTCTAGCAGGGGCTGGAAATGTGACTGGAGTAAGGATGTAACTTACTCCAGCTAGAACGTAAGTTTCTAATGCAATCCTTAGCACCTAGCAGACTCACAGAAAGTGACTCTTGAAACTATGAACTGACATGCACTTGCTAAGGGAAATAAACAGAGCAGCCATTTCTCTGATGGCATTCCACATCCTTGGCCTCCCCAGTGAATAGAGCATCTCATTGGAAGAGGCGATTTCTTCTTTCTTTGTGTTTCTGGCTTTTTATCAGTGCTGGTGGAATGAGATGATAATATAGAACCCGGGAGTTGGTGGCGCACGCCTTTAATCCCAGCACCCGGGAGGCAGAGGCAGGTGGGTCTCTGTGAGTTCAAAGACAGCTCTAGTCTACAGAGCAAGTTCCAGGACCGGCTCCAAAGCCATACAGAGAAACCCTGTCTCAAAAAAAAACACAAAACCGTATTTTCTGCTTTGGATGTGCTTGTAGTCTTAAATGGGAAGCTTTGCTATATACATATATATGTGCATATATACATGTGTATGTGTGCATAAGCATATACATGTATACACATATGAACATATGGACAATTCATAGGGAAATATTTGTCAGGCATATATATGCAAGTAGTTGTAGAATAAATTAAAATTGCAAATATTTATAAATATATGTAAACCACTATGTAGTTTGCATATATATGAATCATTGTGTAACTTATGTATATGTAAATCTTTATATATCTATATTTGTATCTAGTGATTAGGATGATGCAATTAGAATGACTGAAAGTATAAAATCAGATAAGGTTTATCTACTCTTAGTGCTTTTACTCTCACTTTCTCTTTCCCTCAATTCCCCTTTTCTCGGCTTGTTCTCTTGGACTTGGTGGTACTGAAGGGTGGCGCTTGGCATGACTAACTCATTTCAGCTCTGGAGGTGAGAAGGCCTCCCAGGCAGACTAAGGACCCTGGACCACACTGCTTCCATTCAGATCTCCTCACTGGCTGCATCAGAACAGCAGTCAATCACTGTGTCCCTGTTTTCTGTCTATAAAGTGACAGAGACCCTAGCAATCGCGACTTCCCAGGATGGATGGAGATTTTAAAGAAAAGCATATGGGAAGACACACTGGACACATCATCCTCTGTATGCGTATTGTACACTGGACACATCATCCTCTATATGTGCATTGTATTACACACGTATTGCACACACATATAGTCAGAGTCATCAGGACAGTTCTGTTGGTACAGGGATGCAGATCATGACAAAACTAGTTCATGTATGTCATATACAAGTATTGGCTACATTATGTCATCATGTATGCTAGCCTGGAAACTTTGGACCTATATGCTACTAATGGCCCCAAACCAGCAAAGTCTACGGGAAGTTGCTCAAGACAATTTTAAGACCTTTCAAAGGGAAAAATGTTCTTTCCTTTAGGTTCTGCCATGATTTAGTATTTTTTTTACTGTGTTGATCATATCTATAGTTCATTTGTAGGTGAATAATAAGTTTCTAAAATAAATGAAAATGAGGAAAACTACCTTTTCTTTCATCTAATTTGTGGCAGGGTCATACCTTCCTTTAGGGAATAATTTTGTCATCATTCTTATCCCTGTATCCTACTTCTCACCATGGTACCAAGAACATGTTCAGATGACTTTGACTCTATAGATTCATCATGTATGGGTTCATAAACACATACCAGAATGGATTTCTATCTGGGGTCTACTGGATGTTTTCAGAATTGAAATTTTCATTAATCTGCTGCACAGTTGAGTGGTATATGTAAATTAGTTAAAATGTTCTTCTAGCTTCAAAGAATGACTTTGTTCTAGTTCAGCTGGGAACCGAGCATCCTTTTCTGCCCAGATATGCTCTTGATTGCTGGTACATTAATAACCTGAGCCTTTTCCCTTGTGCTGATTCCTTGACGTCGTTATAGAATTAGTCCTACCACGAGGGTAAGTAAACAGCATGTTTGTGGATGTTAGTGTGACTCCTAAAGCTCCATGAGGATCAACACATCACCGTCTGATTTTACAGGGGATACGCCTGTCCCTACATGATAGCAATTTTAAATGGTTTTTTAATTCTTATGTCCCTACAGGTCTGTCATTGAAAGAGACATGTGCACTTACTGCCGCAAGCCCTTGGGGGTAGAAACCAAAATGATTTTAGATGAGTTACAGATCTGCTGCCATTCCACTTGCTTTAAGGTAAACATGTGCTCATTTCGTGCTACTAAGTGTAAGGCTACACAAGGACAAGAAAAATGCATCTATCTATTGAGATGTCTAGCATGAAAAGTCAAAGCTTTAAACGCTCTATCATCCATGTTAATAATACGCAATCTAAGTATGTCTTCCTGTTATGCAGTTTCACCCTCAAAGATCTGTAATCACTACCTTGGCTTTAGGCTTAGACTTCATTTCTTCACGTGTCCCTTAGCCAGGAAACTGAAGTCTCTGGAGAAGATGGATACTTGTTCATTCCTAAGTTTCTGTAACATTTTAATTTAAACAATGTATTGCAGCAAATATGTAACAAAATCAGTCATGGAAAATAGACAGTTGAGAATAAAGCCATCAGCTCTCTTGTCATGAGCTCAGGACTCAGGCTTCACAACGTTCAAACTCAGTCTGCTGTTAAGACTGTGGTTAATTGTGGCTTAATCAGGAACAGACGTGTTCAATAGCAAGTGTGTCCAAGTCAGGTTTTGGTTTGTTTTTTTGGGGGGGCGTTTTATGAGACAGGGTTTCTCTGTATTGTTTTGGAGGCTGTAGGTCCAGCCTAGCCTCGAACTCACAGAGATCTGCCTGCCTCTGCCTCCCGAGTGCTGGGATTAAAGGCGTGGGCCACCACCGCCCGGCTCCCAAGTCAGGTTTTAATCAGCTGTTACTCTCATCTTCACAGTGGTGTGTGTCAGTCACGTACTTCTCAGTGTATTTACATGAGCACTGCGCTGGGTGTCCGAAGACCTTAGTTCTGCCTCTGTCCCTAACTATGATCCCTGTGGCTTTGGGTAATCACTTAAGTGAAAATGGCCTTGATTTCCTTACCTGTAAAACAGATCATTGAGTATGCTGTGATTCTCAAGGCTGTTTGTGAGTTATAGTCATATGGATTGATTAGGGGGAAAAATAACTTAGGCTACTCAGACAGAAATTTTAAGGTTTCAGATTATTTTTGGACACTGATGGTTTTCAAAGCTCCTTAGATTTGTCTATCCATTTTGAAAATCACTTGCCTAAGTCTGGGTCCTTTCTAGAGATGGACTTATGATTGATTTTATGGCTGAAGAAATTATTTCCTTCAGCCAAACAGATCTGCTACTGTGTCCATTGATCACTTGTTTGCCAGTTACCTAGCAATCAGAAATATGGTGCGTTATTTTGAATACAAAGCTGGCAAGATGGCTTAGCCTGTATACTAACCTGCAGCCAGTCTGCTGACCTGAGTTTGATTCTTAGAACATGCATCCTGTGAGGAAAAAACTAATTCCCACAAGTTCTCCTTTGACCTCTCCTCTTGGGTCTCATGGCACGTATGTATCCAATAAATAAATAAATATAAAAAACCAAACTAAACCACAACTCAAGATAGCATTACAAAAATATGATCTGAAAATGAAACAAATATTTGATTTCAACAGGAAAGAATTTCTAATTTCAAAAATACTCCATTAAATAAAAGCAAATATCTTCAAAATTTTAAATTAGTATGCATAAAATCTTCTGAAATGAAAAATTCTCCTGGTTATTGCTTTTAGTAAATAGGAATAACTTTCATTTATTATATTTTAAGTGAATCATTTCCATTTTAAGCATTAGGGACTATGACAGACAGAACAAAAATGTTCCTCATGCTCATGGAAAAAGACAAATTTCTCTACAGCCATGGTAACAGAGTACCACTTAAACTAGTTTAAATGTTTAATAAACCTATCAAAGACAAATTTGCTCTAGCGAATTTATCTTGAAAGCCAACCGGTAACTCATATTTGCAAGTAGGCAGCAGCAGATGGGTCTGAAACAATGGAGGCTGACCCCTCCCGTAACACCTCACTCCATCCCTGTATGATGAGCAATTTGTTTGGTGGGACAGGCTGTGCCAAATCGCACAGCTCTCCCTTGTGGAAGCAAATGATAGACACAAATCTGTCTTTGTTTGAGACGTTGATCCCGTCCTCAGTGTAGCCAATTTGTGAAAAAATTCTGTCTGTCCTATTGTGAGCTGTGCAGAAAACTTCAGTGGTAAAGATTCCCTGAGATGTACCTGCATGCAGAAGGATGCTGTGGAAGTTTATTTGAAACATTGGGCATGAATGATAGGCGAGCACACTCAGTCTCCCTGTGGCCTCTCTTCAGGGCTGTCTGTGACATCTTTCTCAGGAGGGTGGCCTTACAAGAACTGAAGGGTTTTTCTATCCCCACTTCCTTGAGGATGCATTCTTAGTCTATAATATAAACTCAATATATTGTTTTCTTTAGTGTGAAATATGCAAACAGCCTTTGGAAAATCTACAAGCAGGTGACAGTATCTGGATTTATAGACAGACTATACATTGTGAGCCTTGCTACTCTAAAGTGATGGGTAAGTGTCATTCTCTGTGAGCAGTAGTCATTCTCACGAACACTAGTGACTATTTGGCGTTGATAGATGTGAAATATTCCACAAAATTCAATGCTTTATGAAACATAGGTAATAAAAAAGTTAGCAGCAGATAGTTAAACTGTGGCAGCATTTTGTCAATCATTATTTATACTATTCTTTTTGTATTATCAGGATGCAGTGTAAACAAAGAGGCCATTTATTTTTAATATTTTTTCCAGTTTGAAGCAGGACTTGTTTTTGCTGATTAAATGACTGTTTGAGTTGAATCATTTCTGTGGATGCCCATTTGTACTTGGACTTGGAAGTACATTTAAATATAGTCTGGTAATTACAACCAATGCCTTTTAATGTTACTTTTACCTGAAATAGTTAATCTTAGATAATTCTATGTTAAATATAGCATGAAAAGGTTTGTTTTTTAACAATGCAAGAACAAATGTTACTATAATTTGGATTCTTAATTAGCTTCAGTAAGGAGAAAGCAAGATGTTGTAGGCATGCATTTTTAACTAAGCATGAGAAATTTAAGTGCTGATTTAAAACACATGCAGAATATGTCAGGAAAAATTAGGTCCTATAAGATTTAATTGATTGTTACAAGAGAGTACATTCAATTTACTTTCAGATGCAACAGTAAGTAGAACAAGAGAAACAAATTCCTATTGAGTGTGTGGTCCATAGTTATCATAGTCACAATGCATAAAGGGCTCTTGTTCCTGCCTACTTTGGTGTAGTGAATGAGACTATTTGGGATTCCTACATGGGATTAAAAGCACAGAGGTTAATGACAAATCCATGAGCTTTAATGAGCTACTGGTGGCTACATGTGGAAAAATATCCAGAGACCCACATTCTATCGGCTTCGGCCTGATTCTGTTTGTGCTCTGTCTTCTACTTTCTGCTTTTCCACAGATTGTTTTTCATATTCACTTTTCTTTTCTAGTTCTGCAGTCCTAACCGGTCTATGCTGATTCTTGGTGTGCTTGGGTAATTCCAAGCCTTTCTGTCTCTTGAGAGTCCTGATGTAGGGGTTGTGAGCGTGTCTTCCACTCTGCCCATGTACCCTCCAGAGTAACGTTTTCCTTAGAAGATCATACTCAGAGCTGTGGCTCTCACCCATTTCTTAAATATGAACACCTGTTTCTGGCACTCCATGTGTGGCGGAAGCCAGAGTGAACAGAGTGAAGAACCCAGGACCTGAGGAATGACATAGTGCTTGATCCAGTAGGACCCCCTGGGAGAGTGACCGCTTCTTTACATTTTAATTGTGGTTTTATTGTCATATTGATTTATGTGTCTAATGTGTGGTTTTATTTTCATGTTGATTTGTGTGTCTAACTTTGTTTTTAAAATTTCAGCAAAGTGGATTCAACAGAACTGATATGTGGAAATGAAGATGAGAAGCCGTCATCAATGAATTTAAAGCTACATTTTAAGAACATATAATCTAGAAAAGATTTACATTGAAGATTATCTCTGTATCAAAATAACAATTTTGTTATTGTACAAATAATCTAACTACTTTTAATAAGGTCACACACATGAAAAGAACCATCTGGTATCTGGCAAGATTTAGTGATAAATATTCACATAGTTCTAGTTACCAAAGACAATGACAGTGAGCATTGCCAACCCTGAACAGGCTATCCCTGTCTGCCTGCCCATCATGATTTTCTTTATAACCAATTTTCCCATTTTCTCGCCTATCTTCCCCTAATAGTTTGTATTAGAGCATTATTGACACCCTGATAAAAAAGGCTGAAACAAGCAAGATGCATTTCTTTTTTTTTCTACAAAAGAAAATGCACACAGAAATCTTCTTATAAAGTGTTTCAGCAAGGTCAACATAGCAAGCTGTTTGGACCTTAGAAAATCACTAGTTTCCAGACTTCTGTGACATTCTCTGTGACACCACAGACATTAGACAAAATGATTTCTAAGGTCCCCAGGTGTCTGATTCTAAAAGAAATTTGAGTTTGCTGTTTAGAAAGATATTGGTATATTTGTTTATTGGGACATATAAATAATTTCACCTAAGTGTCATCCTTCAGTTTATCACAGGCATATCTTTAATATACTATTCTTAAAACTGAAATTAATAGCTTTATGGGTGATAGATAAAATTTTATGATGTGTAATTTGTTAAACTTTCTTTGCATGCATTTCAAAATCTGGGTGTACAAATAATCTGAGAAGTAATAGCTATGGGTTACAAACATATTATATGTGTTCATGTTACAGTTTATGTTTACAAAAGACTCACAACAATAAAATGAGTTTCCCTAATGTTTGAATAGTGTTCACTAACATTGATTTTTGTCAAACATATTGATCACAAGTTATATTTGATTCTGAGAATTAACTTATTTTAACTGCTTAAAACATAGCTTTTATTTTGAAAGAATTCTTTCGTTTTCGAGTTGGAAATTCAATAATCATACAAGAAGTCATTATTAATGTTAACATAGAACGAGTTAGCATATAAAGTATTTTATAGGTTCATAGTAACTGTTTCTTGGAGAAAGAGTGTCTGGGTCTTGCTGGGACATAGAATTCTAGGGAGCTGGTTAGCAATTGTGAGGAAACTAGGGAAATTAAAAGATGATTGCATGATTTGCAAACAGTGATGAATTCGAATAATTATTCTCCTGTGTAATAATTTTATGCATCTGTTCCTCTTAGACACTGGTCCACAAAGTGTTAAACACAAAGTGCTTATCAGAATTCAGCAATGTATAATTGTCCTATGGGGAGAGAGCCAGAAAAAACAATTAATAATAATTTGATATTCATTAATTCATGCTTGATGAGAAGCAGTAGTAATTGAGCCATATGTTTTATTGTTCCTTTATTACATGCTATCACAGTGGATCAAAAGAAATAATTTTCTTAGAGTTGAAACTGACTGCAGAAAGCAAGGATTAAATTGCCCCCGTCTGTTTTATAAAGTACATTAACATCTCAATGCCTTTGTAGCAATTAAAAATCATCTGAATATCATTTACAAATATAAAAATCTGAAGAGAACACATTTCTCACTTTCTATAGCAGGTTTATGGACACTTTCTTGTACAATAATGCCTTAGATCAAGCCAAAAGCTGTTGGAAAAGCAGAACATACACATATCAGAGAGACAAAGCTTTCTGATTCATTAAGGCTGCTTCATTATGTCTGAGGGTTTTTTCACTATTGAAATGACAGATCCTTTTAACAATTTGAAAGATTCCAGTATTTTTGTCATCAATTAATCATGATATGATTGGCATACTGCTCCTGGACAAGATTATGAAATCATCAATAACAGGTCCTGAATTCCAATTAAACATTTTTTAAAAGTGTCCATGAGAGAGACAATAGTTCTTTGTGTGTGCATGTGCAATGTGTGTGAAACTACACATATGTGTACATATGTGTGGAGATCAGGGAGTGGTTGATTTTGGACGTTGTTTCCAGCGACCTCCCTCCACTTTTTGAGTCTCTCACTGAACCCGGAGCTCACTGACTCTGCTTAGCTACCAGACACCCTCAGATGTCCCCATCTCTGCTTCCCGGCACTGTGTTTCAGGCATAAACCACCATGCCTTGATTTCACACGAAGTGCTGGGGATCAGACTGGGAGTCTCATTCTTGTGTAGCAAACACTACATCATTCATTCATTCATTCCTTCTATCACTAACCACCTCAAAGTGATAAAGCCCTGGCCTCAAACCCACAATGGTATCCTTTATAAAAGCAAAATAAAAGAAGCACCATCATTTCAGAAAAAAAAAACTTGCTAAAGGAGCGTACACTTTTAAACGAAGGTCAGGAAAGATGAATTGACTCAAGACCAAATATATCCCTAAACTTGACTGCAGTCGCTCAGCTAATTCATTCTCAGTGACAAGATTGTCCAGCTCCAGCTTGCTGATTTGTTTACTATGACGGAAAGTTGTGAGCATTTAGAACAATGTCCTGGATTCAGAGCTCTCTCAAAACAAGTAATTTATCTATATCATGACAAGCTAATAAAGAGAGTGACTTGTTATCAGTTGCCAGTGGAATTATTTTGGTTCAATATAAATAAATTGATTTGTAGAGTTCTACCTATTTCGTAGTAGTCAGGAGTTTCCCCAGAGGATATTTACGTAAATTGGGTAGACTACTCTCTCCCTGTCTCGATGCCTTCCTGTTTGAAGTGTGGCTTTAGAACACTGGCTCTCTACTGTACCACGAGCTCAAACATCGCGGAGATTATGGGTCTGCTTCTAGTGTTCACCTTCTTTGCATATGATCTATTTTGGTACATACCTGTGGATCACTGTTTTGTTTACAGTTAGAATTTTTTTCCGAGACAGGGTTTCTCCGTGTAGCTTTGTAGACCAGGCTGGCCTCGAACTCACAGAGATTCACCTGCATCTGCCTCCCGAGTGCTGGGATTAAAGGCATGTACCACCACTTCCCACCTTGTATTTAGAATTTTATTTGAATTATTCCTAACAAAAAAGTTGGGCACAAGCTAGGATGGTGTCATGGGTGTGCCATGCCAACATGTATGAAGCTTGGTGAAGGGACATTAAGTTGAAAGTCAGCCTGGGTAACATAGTAGGACCTTTCTCAAAGGAAAAACAATAGGCATCATTCATTGGCTATTTGACAAGTGTGGCTTACTTCTGCAGTGGTAAGGTGTACAAGGTAAGGAATGATTTCTTTTCAATGTATAAAAAAGAATCTGTGGTTTATAATCTACCATCATTCATTTATTCATTCAGCAAACAACTCCACAGTCTGTGTTGTATTGAGGAGACATGAACAAACATTTATCCAGCCTGGCACTAACTCCTAGGGTCAAATCTGGGACTGTAGCAACCTTGGCACATGAGGACCACCTACATGTCATCACCTGGCTGAACAGAAACGGAGTGGTGATGTGAAGACACTTACAATGTGACACTTCTGGTGAGAGGAACATGTAAAGATATCTAGTAACGCCCCTCTCCCAAGTCCATCTTCTCCCAGTGGGTCCTAACAAAGTGCTCAGCCGAGCTGTGAACACTGAAGTCTCTTCCCAGAAGCCAAATACTCTTAAGGCTGGCATCGGGCTTTTTAGCTTTTTTCTTCTTCCAGATGAGATTCTGGTGGAAATGGCAACTTTCCGGGGTCCATTGTTTAAACAGTCCGGTAGGCCAAGGGAGGGACACAAGCGCCCCTCTTTAGAGTCTGCTTGATCTGGCCAGGAGTGCTACACCCCGGATAGGGAACCAGGCCCATGCCAGTCCATGAGAAATTTGGTTACTTTTACGAGTATGACAACTCGACGATGGCGGCTGTGTCACTGAGAGCCCACCCAGTGTGGGCAATCACCCCTAAAGCTACCTTCTGGACCCTCCTGCAGGACTTCTGACACTGGGCTTACTGGAGAGGCCCCGTCTCCTGCGACCATTTATTGTCTGTAGCACCTTGGAGAGGCCTGTAGTGAATGCTGTGACTCCCCGACCTCCCCAGCTTTCTCAGTTGTGTTTGGAGGGAAAGGCTACTCAAGAGCAGAATACTCAGAGTCCTTGACCTCACTGAAGGACTTGCATTCTACAGGGGAAGGGTGTGAAGGAGCAACAAGAGAGAGACAGAGAGAGAGAGACAGAGAGACAGAGACAGAGAGAGAGACAGAGAGACAGAGACAGAGACAGAGAGGGAGGGAAGGAAGGAAGGAGAGACAGAGAGAGACAGAGACAGAGACACAGAGAGAGAGAGACAGAGAGAGAGACACACAGAGAGAGACAGAGAGGGACAGAGACACAGAGAGACAGAGACAGAGAGAGACAGAGACAGAGAGAGACAGAGACAGAGAGAGACACAAATAGAGAAAGAGAGAGAGAGAGAGAGAGAGAGAGAGAGAGAGAGAACCACAAACCCACACAGGAAATGAAGCAGACTGATTTGTGATGGGGAGGTGTTATTTTAAATATGACCAAGATGCTTGGCAGAATCCGGCCTGGAAACAGCTAGGGTGAGGAGCTGTCTTGGATTTGGCAATGATCAGACCACATTCCAGGTGAGCTTAACTTCTATTATTTTCAACACAATGGGATGGAAATTCAAATGCTAAGAGATGGAGGTCAAACGAGTCTGAAGTTTCTTTTAGTCCCCATATAAAACAATATTCAGATAGGACTCTCCAGTCAGCCCAGTGTCCTGCAGGAGGGTCCAGGACTCCAAGCATGAAGTTTCTGACTAGACAGAGGAGCCCACAGCAAGTGTGAGGGGCTGTCAGGTGACCGGCAAGTGTGACCGTGTCCCACCTGGAGTGGGAACACAGCGTGGTACGGAGCCCTCTCCTCACTTGAGGCACCAAATGCCTTTCCTGTCTCTCATCTTTTCTCAAGTGAAAATGTTAACCAGAAAAGCAGTGTTGCTTCTAATCGAGGAGAGGATTCCTGCTGGAATTTTATCAACTATACATGTTCTTTTCTCTGGTTGCAACGTGAAATTATATCTGATAAGAAGAAACATTTAGAACTTGATATACCTCTCTTGACAGTTTCTTAATTTTGCATTTTTTCCCCAAGATAAATGGAAAGATCAGGGTCTTTTGGGCCCTGTTTGATAGGATAAGTTATTGGCAGTGCCCACAGTCACAAATGTCAATAAAGATCCCTAAATGTGTTGCAACTTTGTGTTTTGACATGGCCATCGACATGTTAGTTGCGTTTATGAGCAGATTACAATCATGTTGAGACAAATATGGCCAACTACCTGGTGTTCACACATTTTACCAAGGTTCAGAGACTAACTCAAGTGAAACCGGAAGACTATAAAACATGTAAGTGAAAATCTAGATACTCTTAAACTTGATGAAGTTTTAGATAGAACACTAGACACCATTATTTACAGAACAAAAATCAATGATTTGGAACAGATTAAAATAAAAAAAAAACTACCGTGTAAAAGAAACTGTTAAGACAATGAAAAGATAAGCCACAGACAGTGAGAAAATATTTTCAAAACACTTGTCTATGAAGGAACTTGTCCCCAATATGTCCAAATTATTCTTAAAACACAACAATATAAATTTTTAAAAATATCTTTATTAAAAGCAGACAAAAGGTCTGTCCAGATATTTTACAAAAGAAGATGCATAAAAGGTAAAAGGGACATGAAAGGTGCCTGGTAATGTTTATGGTTAGGGAAGTGCAACTCAGACAGCCCTGAGCTACCGCCACACCCGGGAGGAGGCTGAAGTGCGCATCATTATCGACCAACTGGTGTCTGTATCTTCCGGTCGCCCTTCTGTCTCCCTTAGCCGTC